TACAGAGCTTTTCCGGAATACGGAGCTATCTTGTATGTATGCATATGTGTGTTTATTCAAATACTAAAGTGAGAGCAACGACTTTAAATGGGTAAACTTTGTAATATATCTTATTAACAATACAATGCAAAAAGTTTTATAAAAATTCGTTTACAGTAAATGAATTCCGAGGTTTGTATCCCATAAGGGCTTAAAGCACTCCACTATCAAGGTAAGCGTAAAAAATTCATTTCGAGCTCTAGCTTATATTTAAGAATAAGATTTAGAATATAGGTTGGAATAAACGGTTTTTTTTGGGCTTAATTTATTGAAATTATTTTAGTTATTGCAAAAGACATTAGTAATTCTGAATTCTTCAGGAAATAAATCAGAATATAAACTAGTTGCATAAACCACCATGCCTTACGAGACAATTATCATTAGAAAATCTATTGCTTAAATATAATTCAGTTTGGTGACATGTATTCTCGAGGGATGTCTCACTTAAGGGTAAAAAATGTACATGTACTGCCAACCGAGTGCCAATGACCGCGAAGAAAACTGCCTATGTCTGCCATATATAATTATAGTCGACTGACACCAACTACTGCCAGCGACTTCCAAGAACATGTACAGGGTATCCCATTTAGGTTGAAATCACACGGTATGTTCGTTATTAGTAAAGATAGGAGGATGCGGTTTGCACAAACCTATTCCAGTTTTTGTCAAACGGAAGATGCCGTAAACAAAAATGTTTTTAGCTCTTTTCGTTTCTGAACTACAGAATCTTTTTGAAAATTTTGCAATTTGGGACAGCCCCCGTATCTCCTTTATTGTCTATGATATCGAGAAGGTGAAAACAGTTTCTTGTAGAACTTTTTAGGTAGAATACAGTAGGGTAGTCTGTTTTCCTACGATTTTTTTTTAGAAGATATGAACTAAAGTTATGTTTTTTCAAATGGAACACCCTGTATATTTATAAATCATATCCGCAAGGCGTGTATATATAAGGTGATACAGGGTGAACCTTGATGAGTTTCTAAGAAATATATATATCACTCTATATGCATTTATTTTCACTATTTACTGCAATATTTAAAATATATCATTTTATTATTAGTGGGCTGTGATAAATAACAAAAAAATCCAAAATGATATTTACTAAAATAGTCATACACATATTAAAATTTTATTTGGGATTGATATATTTTACTTTTGAACTGTTACCACTGAATCTCTGAATATAAGCATTTTTCTTTTTTTTTTATCACGGAACTTGGGTTTCCAAATATCTAAAAGCTTGCATTATTAAAGCATTTTCCAGGTGTTCGACATTGTTGTAGTTGCCACGATATATTTCATATTTAAAAAATTTCCAAAATCAGAAATCGAGAACCGACAAATCCGGGAATCAGGGAGGCCATGTATAGGTCCATTGATTCCAATTCATTGATTTGAGAAATAATTATTTAACAAAATTCTAATATGTTCAAAGTTGTGAGGGAGAGACCCATCTTGCTGAAAGTATATTTCACGTAAATTAACTAAAAGAATATCTAAAAGTTCTAGTACGATAGCTTCCAAGATTTATAAATAGCGGTAGAGAGTTAAGTTTCCCTAATATATAAAAAAATATTAGTGGCTCTCAAAATAAAACAAGAGACAGATAGCAATATACTTTTAATAATTCTTTAATTCTTTTAATAAAAACCTTTAAATATTGCAGTAAATAGTAAAAATAAATATAGGGTGATATATATTCCTGAGAAGATTATGGCAAGCCAAATCATATAATTTATAAATATACAGGGTGTTCCATTTAAGAAAACATAACTTTAGTTCATATCTAAAATATTTTTTTTTCGTAGAATAACAGACTACGCGACTGTATTCTACGTAAAAAAGTTCTACAATAAACAGTTTTCGCCTTCTCGATAACTATAACAATAACAGGACACACAGGAGGCGCCCCCAAATTGCAAAATTTTCAAAAAGACCCTGTAGCTCAGAAACGAAGAGGGCTATGAAAATCTTGTTTACGCATCTTTCGTTTGACAAAAAAGTGGGACAGGTTTGTGCAAACCTCACCCTTCTATCTTCACTAATAATGAAAATATTGTATGATTTCAAACAAAATGGGACACCCTATACATATAGTTTTCACAGTGGGACACCCCTCCTGTATTCTAGTAAATATTTTTTATTCTACAAAAGAATATTCAAGAGCAGGCAACGCACTAGAGAGCTTGTTATGCAATATGTTTGTCAGCAGGTGTCAGAGAATATTGACATTATTTGACTAACCAACACACACACTAGGAAACTTGCTGACTAAAATTCCATTCGCCAGCATATTGTCCAACATGTTCCCAAGTGACCTGCTTTGAATACATAGATTTGTAAGTACATTGAAAAAGCTATGGTATTATGAAAAAGATGCATTTCCTGTCTTTCTCCTTTTATTTTCTATGTGTATATTATACTATAGGTAATAGAAATTTTATCTCTGTTCTCTTTAGTTCTATCCGTACTACAATTAATATTCCTTAACAAGAAAGGCTTTGTCACAGTGTGAAAATTTCATAATTAACTTTTTCCAAAATGTAAATAATCGAAATATATTGGAAATAGTGTTGTAAAAAATCAGTACGAAGCTTAAGAAGCTAAAGATCTCTTCTGTTTTATTTTTTTTTGATTTTGTAAATCATTTTTTTTATATCTCAGCCTTTTGTTAAATGCGTTACCATACGATCGAAAAAAAAAACGGCGTCAGAGATGGTTGGAAATGAAGATTGCTGTCATATTATAGGAAATATTATATACCCGTAGTTAATGTCATTGATCGTAATTTCAAAGCCGATTTGACGCCGCTTTTTTTCGATCATACCCCCGATATGAGTAAAAATAAATTAGGTAAATACGAACAACTTAATGAAATATATTTACTTACTATTTATTAATTTCTAATAAATAGTATAAAATATCGAATAATAAAGAAATAAGGTGTCAGAGTGGTCGTTGAAATAACGTTGATAATAATTTCTGTCTAATCGACTGCCGTATGGCATTTATTAAATATCGAGAAGATAGCTTTAAAGGAGTATATTATTTTTTATTTTGGAAAAAAATAATCGTGGCTAAATTTTTTTTTCATTTAAATATAAAAAAATTGGCGCCGGGAGGCACGTATAGCATTATAGCCCATATTAAAATATATTAACAAAAAGTTGGTAGGCAGTTCTTTTAGTTTGAAAGTAAAGGAATTTTTCCAATTTTTTTTATCTCAAAAACTGCGACTCTGACTGATTTTGATGTTATTACATATTTTGTTGCAAATATTATTCCTAATCTTAAATTGAAAACCGCGTTTCGCTAGCTACTGTAATTTTGGAGTTACGATTTTTTAAATTTTTTAATCCCCTCCCATACCTCCTTACCAATACCCCACCCCCACCAAAAACTAATGGCCAGATTCTCGGGTGCCACAGTATTTTTTGCCAAATTTGGTTAAAATCGGTTTAGCGGTTTTTGAGTTATCGTGTTACAGACGGATAGACGAACAGACGGACAGACACCATGAAAATAACTCATTTTGAGTGAAATTAAAAAAACTTTTTTTTTGCCGATCTTAATAGCCTACCATACCTGTTAATATGGTCGGCTAAAAATACATATAGACTTTGACGAAAATTATCATAAATTATTTTTTTAAGGACCACTTTGATCTCTTAAATTAAAAAATAAAACACATAAATATAGAATGCTTTGATAAAATAACTTAAAAAGGGCTAAATATTAAAAACTTTAAACTTTTTTTCAACTTTTCTCTTGAACCTCTATTCGTTCTCGTGGTTGTAGTATACACAACTTTAAAGGCAATTTGAATAAATATTTAGAAAAAAACTAAAACCTAAAAAGTGAAAAAATAATATTTAAATGTGTAGAATTTGTAGAAATATTTTGTGTCAAAATTGTCTTTTTTTCTCTTTCTCTCTTTCTTCTCTCTTTCCTCTTCTCTCTTTTTTTTTTCTTGCCGTCAGTCGAAACAGCCCATTATGCGTATGAATTTTCCTGTAACAACCAAACACTCAGATAATTTACTCTAAAGGTGTCTACACATTTAAACACACAAACTGAGGGCACACGACTTCTTGCTTTGTATGTTTTATTTGGTTGAATCGCAATGGTTTTGAGCATTAAAAAAGCCCATATTTATATATTTTAAAATATTATCTTTCATATTTATTTTTATATTCCCTATAGCTTTCCCTAAATTAATAAAAATATAGGATCTTCCTATGCGCAGTAGTGAAGGCAATGGGTATCGGCAGCCAGACGGGCCGCATGCTGTTCCAGAGAGCATAGTAAAAGATATATCAAAGAGCCAGACGTCTTAAAATACTTTCTCGAAAACGTTGCTAGCTCTTAGATTATAAGAATTGAATTGTGTTCGACAGTGGTCGCGCTATTAGAACTCTGAATTCCAAAATCGATATCTCGAAATCTATTATAATAATAAAATAATTCATTGTAGTTTTTCAAAAACTTTCTTAACATTTCTGCTATATTTTCTTCGTAGACAGTACGTGAAAATTGCTATGTACTAAAAGTAAATGGATGGGTTGTTTAAAATTTTTGAATGGTAAAAAACAAACTTATCTAATTTTTCTTACTTAAACGTATTGTAAAAGATCCGATCTTCAAAATAAAAAAAAATCAATATCTAAGTTATGGCGTGTTGTGTTAAAAAGTCGAGTTTTTAAATTATCGCGATTACTGACGTTTTATCGTTATAAAAAATGGACACAGGAACAATATAAGCACGAACGAATATTCGTGCGCGTTCAGCTTGTGTGTGCTCAGAACCGTGCGCACCTTTGTTATATTTTATACGAGAACGAATAGGTTAAACATAGAAGCAACGCAACTAACCATATTAAATCAAATTAGTTGTCGGTTTAAAAGCTTAAAACTCAAAATGAACTAATTTAGACCCAACTATTCGCATCGTGATCATCGTTATCCCCCTTGGCGAAGCAGCTCAAGCCGCTTTTGCGCCGTTTAAAACAGAAGCGACCTTCGACATGAGTTAAACTCAGCGACCGTTAGAGAAACTCCTTGGGTTTACGTGAGGACGGTGTCTGGACCTGTTCCTGTAGCATCTTGGTCGTTTCTGTGGGACTGGTTGCCGAACTCTCGGGTGAAGTTGGCTTGCCCGTGCCAGTTGTAGTGGTGGGAGTTGTCGGCACCTAATAGGGAAGTGATGTTAGTGAAGAGAGTTTGTAGTTCTTCACGAAATACTTCTGGATAGAAATTGAATGCAGGATTGATGGAAATCGAAATAAATGCTTACAGTGCTCATATTACGCATTCCTTTCATAGACAAAGATCCAGTAGACGTAATTTGCGTGTAGTGTCTATCAGCGCCAGGTCAACTGAGATATACGACCTTGATCGATCTATTAATTGAGATAGTAATTTCCTGGTACGCTAGATGGCGTATCAAGTTTTTATAGTTGCCTAAAAATAGTTTTTATAGTCACCTAAAAACTGACAGAAAGGAAGATAATACATTTTTTTTCTTTTTCTGCTGATCTAAATCAATTTTTTCCAAATTTGATATCAGTAAATCATCAGCTGTTTATTATTATTTCTGAACCTCCGATCTTCATTGTTGTAATTAATGAATTTTTCCACTGTATTAGTGATTTTAGATCTTTATTGCGACAGGTGAGGAAGTAATTTGTGATAAAAAACACCATTTTGCATAGACCGAGTTAGTAATTTGTGAAAACATTGTTATTTTAAATTAAATTGTTTCAGGTACCTACGTACTTTATTACAAGATTCGCTCAGTTTTGTATTACAATAATTTTTGTAAATACTTCTATTTTTATGAATATTCAAGTTACTTTTACTCTTATTTTTTTGGAAAAATAATGTACGTATAACACTATTTCATAGAAGTTTTTTCGAAGAAACTATTTCAAAGTAGGTTATTTATATTAGGTTTATTAATAAATACCTATCTTATAGTTTGAATTGAGTTTTATTCTTTATTGTAAAATGTGTGATAGAACCATTTGACACTACAACATTTTAACTCCTTTTTATATTATAATACCTATCAGTTATTTGTTGATTGATGAGTATTTTCTTTGTTCCCAGTACAATCCAATTAACACATAGGAACACTAATATCGATTTATAACGCCTGCCGATAGTACCGGTACCGCTGGCAGAACATAAGAAATTACCAAAACAGAAAACGACACACGACTCCGCTCGGACTTGGCTTCCTTCTTTGAATTTCGACATAACACAATAGGCTGACCTGGCTGACAGATGACAGTATTGGTACAAACTAGCGATACTAGCGTCGCGCGCGGCTTGTACACCAAAAACAGATGTTCGGAAAGCCAATATGAGGGTGCATAGCCTGGAACTAATGAAGGTGAAATTTTGTGCTTGGCTCAGAAAAATAAATAATCATAGAGTTTGAATGTATTACTGGTGTTTGTATCCTATTATAATATCACTATACTAAAGTGAGATACAAAATCAGCCACGGTGAACTCATATAATGTGTTTCAATAAACATGGGCCATCTCTCGTGGAAAGATTCCTCGCGTAAAAATAAGATTTATTTTTCATATCAACATAGGTCCGATTCTGCTTTGTTTCGTAGCTACAGGGTGTTAACATTTTAATATTTTTTCGATTTATTATAATTCCCTTCCGAGTACTTTCAGTGTTTCGAATGAAATTTTGAGGGTAAAAGTTACTATAAATGGGACTTTTTTTAAAGCTAAAAAAGTGTGGACATATTCACCAGGCACGTGCATATGGGTTATCACTGGAATATTTTTCTAAAAAAAAAGCATGTACGCCACTGACTGTTTTTTTCTCTTGTTAGCGAAATAGTGTAAGCAGTTTAATACCGATTAAAAGTTGTCTCTTGATATTTTATCAATTTCGGCCTCGTTCGTGAGATAAACGCAATTTTATTAATTTGCCTTGATCCAAGTCTAACAGAAACCTTTAAAAAAATTTAATATCATTAACTTGGGAAAGTTTTAAATAAGAACTCATTTTTTCCTCATGAAAAAATATGAAAAAATGTTCCTATAAATATGGGTATGGAAATGCATAGTTATAGAGTTACAGAATGTTAAAACTTATGGACACTTTCTTAGCATTAAAATATGTAGCACTTATAGTAACTTTTACCTTCAAAATTTCATTCGAATCACTAAAAGAACTTGAAAGAAAATTATAATTAATCGAAATATTATTAAGACTTTAACACCCTGTAACTACGAAATAAAGAAGAAGCGAATCTACGTAGATATGAAAAATAAATCTTATTTTTACGTGAGGAATCTCCCCACGAGAGATGGCACATATTTTTTGAAACACCCTGTATATTACTTAGGAATAGCCAATCTAATCAACCGATAGTAGATTAGATTGGCTATTGTGCTAGTAGTAATTAAAGAACTAAAAATATAGAACTAAAAGTAGAACCATAAGAATAAGTGATAAAACATTAAAATAAAGAAGTAAGTTTAAAACTTCACTAATTTGTTATTGTTACCTTTGGCGCCGATCCTTTCATTCTCGTCTTCGACCTTCTTTTCTTCAGTATGATGGGCCCGAGACCTGTACCCTCGACCCCACCCACGCCCTTCCCTGGCAGAAGGTCGGAGGGTCTTTCCAGTGGCGTGGAAGACTTCTTCACTGACAAGTTATCGGTCGAGTCGTTGGGCGATTGGGAACTGGAACTGGTCTCGGGACTGAGACGCTTCAGGATTTCGCTCATCATCTCCTCCATGTGGTTCATTTTTTGGTTCATCTTTTGGATCTCGAGTTTTACGTCTACCTGGTGGCGCATCAGAATATATTCATTCAACAAACTCTCAAAATAATCTGTCAATAATAATTTTTGTCCACGACCACTTAATAATAAATAAATATTCTACTTCCTAGAAGGAATATGGTGCCCATAATAGAGTGAAATATAACAGCTGATAACAGTGAATAATTATGATAAATCCTTTGAATAAGAAGACTAAGGAAGGAGCATATCAAAAATCTTAGGTCCACAGCGATGAGCCTCAAATATGGCCGACTTAAATTCCGGTTTATCAGTGCCGTTCTAATTTTATTTAAAAAATGTAAAACTATGATGTAGGGTAGACGTGGGGTAGACTCAATAATATGTTGTTTTATTTGACGTTGTGAATAAATGTTGGTAGTTATTAAAATTGTTACAAAAATATAGAATTCTAATAAAAATAGATAAGTTATAATAATTATTTATTAACACAAACATCCGATACGCTACTGCAGCAGGTAAATCTGGTAAATCAAATTGATGTATCTAAATTCTTTGACATCTAATCTTTGACAAGTAGTAAATAAAAGCAAAAATGCAAGAAAAAATATATAATTAGTTAATTTAAGTGAATTTTATAAATGATCGGTTTACTACACATATGTATGTTATATAGTCACTTACTAGCGAAAAGGTGTTCCATTATTTCACTCGATTTTTGCCGAGATCTACCGCACGCTACACAACCAACTATTTTAGAGTCTTTTTCGATAAATCGCGATAGTGTCACTGTTAATTTAAGTTCTGCCACAATTTGCATCTAGATTTACTACCTTTAAACAACTATCAGTAGTAGAATAAATAATAAATAACATAAAATAAGCTCCGTAAAGACTGACAAATCCATAAAATTTCAAATGAAATTCAAATGTGTCAAATGAATCGTCAAACAGAACTGTCTAGGATCCCCACCCTAGAGTGCTTTTTCCGCCCACCATGCATGAATACATGGATAGCATTATGCTCCTTCCTTAGTCTTCTTATTCAAAGGATAAATCACCCTTTGCATTTACTTTACATTTGTTGCTATGCCAACATTCACAACATCCCCATGCACAGCATGGATGATTTGACGTTTTATCTTTTCTTTTTATTAATTTTGACATTTAAAATTGTCAAATGTTAAGTAGGTAGCGATTATTAAGTGGTATATCAAGAACTCGTTTAAAATCAAAAAATGAATTATGAGAGTGATAATGAGCCCTGTGGACCACCAGAGATAGCAGAGGCGGCCAAATTAACAAGTCTTGGATTGCTACCACAAAAGTCTAAGGATCATTACATGCCTGCCTATAAAAACTTTCTAGACTGGAGGATTGCTAAAGGCATAAATTCGTTTTCCGAATCCGTGTTATTAGTATATTTGTTGCCATTGTAACGGAACAAAAATCAATCTCCTGATTGACTAAAGAATGTTGGTACGATATTTTCATGCAAAGAACTTGAAATAATATTAATGAAATTCAAATACATATACATATAACTTTAAATAAAACACAAATTACCAACTTTAGTTACACAAAACAACAAAAAATCAGATGCTGGTACTCCAATTTATCGTTCTCCAACAACTGTACTCAACTAAAGTTGGTAGAAGTATGTGTTTTATTGCAAAAAACTTAAAGCAGCATCAATAAAATTCAAATACATATATAACGATAAATAAAACACAAATTACCAACTTTACTTACACAAAACAACAAAAAGTCAGCTACTAGTGGTACGATCTATCATTTTTCAACAAATTTATTTTACTAAAGGTGGTAGAAAAAAGTACTAATAATGTCGTAAAACACATCTAATAATAAACTTCCCAAATATTTGAAAATAGAATAGTTCAAGATGACTGCGACTCTCGATGCATAGCAACTGATAATATTGACGTTTTTATTATCTTTTATTTAATTTTGACGTTTGAAATTGCCAAATTTTAAGTAGGTACTGACCTTTTCCTCTAAAACATGAATACAATAATTAATAGTAAGATTAACATTAAAAATACAAATTCAAACACACGTCATAATTATTATAATGGCCGTGGACAAAGTATAGTATTCAACTCGCAATTTATAGCCATTATTCACTCGGGTGACTTGCGCCCCTCGCCTACGGCTTGTGACGCAAACGTCACACTGCGTGAATAATGGCTAGCATAAATTGCTCCTTCAATAATATACTAATATTTTTTAGAAATATAGAGAAAAAGACTGAACGAAAATATATAATTAAAATGGCTCTCGCTAGTTTTAAAACCATAATGGGTGTTTTAAATCTTTACCAATACTAGTAAAGGAGCATCAGAAAAATGTATTGACAGGATATAGCTCTTAATATATGTTAATTCTTTAAAACTTATGTTTATTATTTAATGTACTGTTCTAATGAAAGTACTAACACAGAGCTTTATTTTACACGTACTTAACTAATATAAACGGAAAAATATATATGTAGAGACACAAATGTTATGTCCTTAAAAGCTCTAAAAATAATGCATAATCTTAAAGGTCATGATTCACATTTTATTATATTATAATTACCTATTGAAAAATTAAATATCCCTAAATATAAAGAGTGGTTTCATCTTTTTTATATAATAATGGTTAATTTTGATATAATAATGTGATTTTATGTTTGTTTGGCGGCAATATCTGTGGCATATTTTTTCAAGAGGTACAATTTATGTTTGGACAAATAAATTTTACAATTAAGCGCAGTGGATTAAAGGCTGATTCTCACTATACCTTCCGTTTCCATTCCATATCTCTTCCATATCCGTTCCGTATTTTTTATTGTATTGACGCTACACGTAAGCTTCCGTTCCGTATCAGTTCCATACTTTTTATTGGACAATTTATATCATTACGAAAGTTTTATTTTAAAAATTTGTATCGTTTGAAGAGATAATAGATTTAATTAACACGGGAAAGAAGTTGACAACACTGTCTGGGATACGGTTGAGTCCGTCCGCCAAAAACATGTTTGCAAGGAAAGGATATGGGACAGAAGGGAAACGGAACGGATAGTGTGCTTATTGTCCTATTAATTTACATGATATATTATTTTATGTTAACGGAAGGGGAAACGGAAGGTAGCTGATACGGAAGGTATAGTGAGAATAAACCTTTAGTGTTTGTTTGAAAGTACTATACAACAATAAAATTTTAATATTAATCCTAATTTGCCAGTATGTTTGACGAAAACAAAAATGGCAAATAAAATAACTATTTCTAATTATGACATTTAAAGGAACGGTTTTTATAATCCTCTGGCGGTTTTAAAATATGTTTCAATTCGCTACTTAAGATTCTTTTTTCTTCTGCAACCTTATAGATTCATATGTCAGACAATTTTTATTAATGTCACTGTTTTGTATACCTACTGTATAAGCCGTGGTGTTAAAAGAGTTCATTTGGATTTCCGACGATAGTTTTCAAATTTGTGTTCTATTTGAAAGTTTTTGTAGTATATTTAATGGACAAATATATATTATGAGTAAAAAATATGTTATACATAATACATATGTGAAGCTGTCCGCAATAATACGAAATTAGTCTTATTCTAAAAAGAAGTCCAAATAAATAAAAGAATGAAAAACTCTAAAGTATGTTCCACAAAAACAAGATGTTATTAAACCATAATAAATAATTAACATCCAAATAACACATTATTTGTCCTATTTTATTTTTTTCTGTATTTTCTAATTTATACAGGTTGAGTCTTAAATAAGTGCAAAGAATTTGAGAATGGTATATTTCGATTTCGACCCCAAAAATACGATTATAAAGTTTTATAAGCAATTTTTTTTTAAACTTGGAATATTTTGAAATAATTTTTTTTTTAATTTTGAGTTAAAAAACATAATTTCTTGTTAATATGAAAACATAGGTAGTAGATTAAATTTACAAGAAAGAAAATATCCAGTGGCTCTGAAAATTTAAGCAAAACTTCTTTTTTGAAATATTCAAAGTAAAATAACTCGGTTATTTTGGACTTATTTGAAAAATTCTAAAAAGAAAATACCTTTCTTTTATCGAGATCTAACAGCCCTGAAAATATTTACCCTTATTTAAGACTCACCCTGTATATCAGATAGCGGAATCCACGAAGTTTATCAGATCTAAGTTGGTAACTAGTGAAGATTCGTCGCTAGTCGCTTAAAAGTCTTTATTTGTTCAAGAATGTCTTTTGATTGTAATAGCGATAGGTAAATTCATTATCACATTAGTATTTTTTCATATCAAATGTATGTAATCATATCATACCATGTATTCATAATCAAATGAAATACTTAATATTGCCATTGTGTGATATCAAAATTATAAAAACTCTTGTATTCAACACGTTGGGAGACATCAATTTGGTGTAACTCATATCTTTTCCAAAACTTCATTCGTTACAAAAAATATTATGGTTCATACATTTAGTTTCATACAGGGTGGCCCATCGAAAACGTTCCGCAAGGCATAACGGCCAGGGTAATTTTTTTTTCAGAAAATCCAAAAACACGTCAATTTTGTTTGTGAGGGGGACAACTTTTGTCCCAAAAATTATTGCAAAATCTTCAATCCTCTAAGCGGGGGTGTTATCCCCCAACTTTTTTCAAATGGGAAGGGGGGTCAAGTAGCACCGCAATGAAAAGAGCTTTCTATTCTCTATATTTCCCCGCTTCGTTTTTGAAAATCGGTCGAGTCATTGAGAAAAGATGAAGGATTGAAATTTGAAAAGTTTATTTAAACATTTATCAGACTAAATGATAAGGATAAATTCCTTCGACCAATTTGCTGCTTTTTCTTATTATTTCTAGATGTTTACGCATTTTTTCACTTGCCACAAGGTTGAACGATCAGGTGCGGTAGTTGCTAGATAGCTGTTCTGTGACTTGTGCGTTGAAGCTCTTCTCAATATCGTTAAACTTTTTAACAATTATGGTGTACTCACTTGCAGAAAAAATGGATATAATCGAACTTTATTTTAAAAATAATGAATGTGGCAATCGGTTTGCGCAGATATTCAATGAACGCCATCCTGACAAACACCTTTATGGCAAAATTGTTCGCGATTTAGTAGCAAAATTTCACGAAACTGATTCCGTTATGAATAAAAAGAGGCAGAGGGAAAATCCTGTAGTAAATGAAGCTATGGAGGTATTCGTATTGGGCCAAGTTGCCATGGGTAGTACGCTGAGTACAAGAAAATTGGCCAATGAGACCGCGACCGGCGTGAATCGTACAAGTGTCCAAACGATATTAAAAAACACAAGTTCCAACCGTACAAAATTCAGTTGGTACAAGAAGTCAACGAAGACGATTTTGATAGTCGCGGGCTGGTATTTTTGGAAATTCTAGTGTGGGTCAGTTTAACGATATTGAGACCGCACCTGATCGTTCAACCTTGTAGCAAGTGAAAAAATGCGTAAACATCTAGAAATAATAAGAAAAAGCAGCAAATTGATCGAAGGAATTTATCCTTATCATTTACTCTGATAAATGTTTGAATAAACTTTTCAAATTTCAATCCTTCATATTTTCTCAATGACTCGACCGATTTTCAAAAATGAAGCGGGGAAATATAGAGAAGAGAAAGCTCTTTTCATTGCGGCGCCACTTGACCCCCCTCCCATTTGAAAAAAGTTGGGGGATGACACCCCCGCTTAGAGGGTTGAAGATTTTGCAATCATTTTTGGGCCAAAAGTTGTCCCCCTCACAAACAAAATTGACGTGTTTTTGGATTTTTGGAAAAAAAATATCCTGGCCGTTATGTCTTGCGGAACGTTTCCGATGGGCCACCCTGTATATAAATATAAGAATATAACTATCGTTTTATAGATAATACTTACTTTAAAATCCATCAGATTGGTAAGTAATTCCTTATATTCTAGTGGAGCGATTGGGTCTGGGACGGTTTGATACATTGAGGCTGTAGAGGGATCTCTTAAACCACAGTCGTAACTCTGCATTTTTCTTAGGGATAAGTTTCGGGGAGGTTCGACTTCATTCATTTCATCGATGGTGTCCTGCCTAGTTATGGCTAAACGAAATACAATAACTCAATAGCAGTGACAGTAAATATTAACATATTTGCAAAATGAGATTGTCAATAAAATTGTGAGGTAAGAACTGGTTTATATTTAAATTTGTTAAATGTATTTTTTCGATATGTTAATGTATATATACAGGGTTGTTCACCACATACGACACGGAGTATAGTAGCTAAACGATTAGATTTTTACAAATATTGTAAGTTTTGGGTTCGTTGAAGGACTATTAGAGCTACAATTTAAAAATATTTTTACAAGATACAGAGTGTCGCAAATAAACAAAAAATATCAAAGTTGTATTTTTTTAAATGGAACACCCTGTATATTATTACATTTTTAGTTTCTACGATTAAAATAAAGATAAATTTGATTAAGGTTTACCGCACTTTAATCTTACCGTTTTTGAAATATTTTCAATTTTGTGAAATTGCACTTAAAATTTTATGGCTTCATTTCTCCATGGGTATCAAAGTTTTTAATACTAAATATTTACTGAAGTTATTTATTGATCAGTTATTGTGCTGCAATAATAAAAAATATACCAGCTTATACAGAGTGTCTAAAATTTTATTTTAAATAATCACTAGCTTTAAACGGCAATAACTTGTTTAATTTAAATGGAACACCCTTTATATTTAATGAGAATCAGATGCACATTTTAGTTGTCTATCAAATTGTATTATACCATTTTTTACCTATCTCTTTGTTTTACTGAGTCTTAGTTGCGTTTTATATTTTAATTACAAAAATCCTGGAGAATATTTTGAAAGCGCAGCAAAGGACCTACCTCAAAAACCTCAAAATCATATCTCATTATACAATCAATCATATCTCATTAACAAAATATTCAAATTAATTTTGGAATAATATTTTGGAAATGGCCCATTTCCCCATTGCGCATTTCAAATGGGGAAATAGTGAAAATTCTGAAAGACCAATTTGCCGAGCCAATGTCCAGTGTAGTGTACACAATTTTGGGTGGCAGTTTACCCCTTGCTGCAATGTCACAAAATTGAAAACATTTAAAAAACGGTAAGGTTTAAGTGTAATAAACCTTAATCAAATTTACCTTTATTTTAATCGTAGAAACTAAAAATGTAGTAACAGACAGGGTATTCCATTTAAACAAAACAACTTTGATATTTTTTATTTATTTCGGACACTCTGTATCTTGTAAAAATATTTTTAAATTGTAGCTCTAATAGTCGTTCAACGAACCCAAAACTTATAATTTGTAAAAATCTAATCTTTTAGCTACAATACTCCGTGTCGTATGTGGTGAACAACCCTGTATATTTTTACGGATTATGGCGTAGGTCTTTATGTTGCTAATTTGGAATACTATAAATGATGCAAATTTGGAATAGTCCAAATTATATTCATCTTGCTGCTTTTCGATTATATATTACACTATAGCCTAATCTGCTTGATGAATTTTAACATATAAGGTGTCGATAAATTTGTTTTAACCTGATCTTAATTACAGAAAAGATATAGGGTAACATGAGCAAGAATCAAAAGACAGGAACAAATAGTGAATCTAATGCAAGCTGAATTATTTCGACCTACTCAGAACTCACTTTAGAATTTGATTTAAATGGAGAGCCAGAAGATCAGGAGACTGTAGCTTTGTTTGGGTTGAGAATGTAGCTATCGTTTAACTAATTTCTTAGGTACTGTGTTACCTGTTACGTGACCTCACCTGGATTTGAAGTGGCCGATACTTTCTGTAACTTGGGGAAAACCTTATTTCCCGATCCAGCAGTTGGCTGACTTCCAGAACTACCTGACGATGACGAACTGGGTCTATCTTTCGGATCTTTTGCGCTGAGACTACGTTGAAAAGCGGTACCGGCTTGGTTGGAACTCTCTGAGCTCGAATCTAAGCTGGCCGAACCCAACAAACGGCCCCATTTGCTCCCCCGTACTAAATAGAACATTATGAATTAATTATTTTGCATTTTTATAATAATAATAATAGCTCCCGTATACGCTATATACGGCTATTAACGCCTTGGGAGTAGCAAGGTACAGCTTGCCATGCTAGAGCCATTCGGTATTCAAGGAAGGTAATGCGGCTAGCACTACGCTTCAACCGCCTATTATTACCTCAGGATTGTAAGTCCCAAGTACTCATTTAAGGCTGAGTCGACCTAGGAACTGTAGTAAAAAATAGTCGGCCGATGAAATGCCGGGTGTAGGATTCGAACCCACTACCTTGAGATTGATTGACGAGAGGCTGTACCTCTACGCCGCGCCACCGGGCACCTCGTATTTTGCACCAATTTTGTATTTTTAAATTAGTTTATACTATACAGGGTGTTTCAATATACCGTGGACATAGACCTACTACGTATTGTTGGAATCAGTTGTTTTCATTGAACTCAATCTTTGTTCATCTCATTATACATAATATGTTAAATCAATATATTAAATTTATGAACAAGAAAGAAATAGTGAGGAAAATGTATAAAAAACAAGAAAAAGACTAAGCGGCTCAGCCCCCAACAACTCGCAACCGTATACACCATATAGCCTCAATACGGTCAATTTTATGTTTTTTGTGTTTTGGGATCGGTTTCATCGCTTCCTGGTTCCTTACCGTACTGATGAAGCCTGAAGGCAGTAACATCAGTGTGCACTAGTGTAGGTGTGTAGTTGTGTGAGTGTCAGAGTGTGCGTGTCTGCACTGGTGTACACTGGTGTATACGGTTGCGAGTTGTTAAGGGCTGAGCCGTTTAATCTTTTTCTTGTTTTTTATATTAAATTTATTTAATATTTCCGTATAATCTAATTATCAATCCATTATTGTATTCTAAATAATTCGATAATAAATCACCTAAACAACAGTCAATAGATAAACAAAAAATGAATTAAAAAAAATATTTCTGTTTTAACTTCCAAGAATGTAATAAAACAGCAATATTTCCCACACCAGTAGATATCATATCTTCCGTTCTATCATTATTGCTAAAATACTATAATTAAAAAAATATATAAAGACATTTTTTCTCATTTCGCTCTGTTGGGCTTTGAAAATAATAATGCCAAAGGTCGCTTAATTAATTTTAAAAATTAATAAGTTGTTCAGTTCAGGTCAATAAGTTGTTAGCGTTCATTGAAGAGATTTGTTTCTATTTTTATTGATAAATCTTACAAATTGTTATATATCACAATTTTTTTCTTTTTAATTTATTTTTTCAATAAACCTGATATTTTTAAAATAATAGACCAATAATAATAATTTAGTGCTATTGTAATAATATTTTTGCATTTTCTCTGCCTATACCACATTTTAAATCGATATTTTAAAAAAGGATTTATAAATTTTCCTCCGATATATTATTCAGATTACAGTTTATTCCATGTTTGTACTTTAAGCTATCGCAACTTTATTACATATTCTAAAATCTCTTATTCAATTACGCAATAATATATTTAAAGCCAATAATTTATATTTTTTAAATAAATAATCTAGATAAATAATATTTTAAGATAATTATAAACAATTAAAGAATCTATACCGGGTGCGTCTCAAAAATTGCTCACCCTGTAACTTTTTTATTTTTTCAGATACAGAAACGAGGTTTGGTATGTTAGTATATGACATAAATTAGGATTGATACACGTATTAAATTCTTTTCGACCACTTCCTGTTTCGAAATGACTACAACTTTTGATTTTTAAATGGCACGCTCGGTATTTTTTTAGTTTATTCGACAGAAAATGACACTCTGAATAGATTGACATAGCATATGTCAACTTTTGACATGTTCGCTTAAAACAAAATTGTATTTTAAATTTCAATCTAGAGTGTCATGGATGTGTTAAAAATACTAATTTTTAATCAAGAAACCTTGTAAAAATATATTTGATCTTGAATGCTTTTAGTGTCTTGTCCTGGCCGGTTAAAAGATGTCCAAATCGTATTTTTAATCATATCTCAATTTTTTCAAATGGAACGAGGGTGGCTCATTGGCGTATTTGAAAAAAGTATTATTTTACGAATAATTTTGTGCCAAACACTTGGTATTTCGGGCCAAATTGTCATTGCGAATCGCATGTTGCAATTTCAAATAAACCATATTCGAAAATACCAAAGTTGACATATGATATGTCATTCTATTCAGAGGGTCATTTTCTAATGAATAAAGTAACGAAATACCGAGGGTGCCATTTAAAAATAAAAAGTTGTAATCATTTTCGGTAAAATAGGAAGTGACCTAAAAGAATTGAATACGTCAATCAAGCCTACTTTATGTTATATACTTCGTTTTTTTTATTTGAAAAAATAAAAATTTATAGGGGTGAGCAATTTTTGAGACGCACCCAGTATAATCTCACTCCTGTACTTAATTTTTTTAGTTTAATTAAAATAAAAAAAAATATGTTACCTGAACCAGGCCGCGAAAGCATTGTTTTCACACCACTATCGTCCTTCTCTGCTACAGCTGACAATTTCGTGGTCGAAACCACCCTCGTTATATTCTTCTCACTTCCTTCCTCCCCACCTTTCTCCACGTCTCCCTGTCCCTGAGTGGCGGACGCACTCGCAGTTGCAGCAGCTTGACTCCGATCCCTCCGGAACTTGGAGAAGATTTTCCTCACGAGGTGGTCTTGGTTTTGATCGAGCTGGGGTTCGTTTTTCCTTCTCTCCGCTAGTTCTTTTTCCCTCTTGACGTCTGCCACCTTCCGAAATATTAACCGGTGCCGTAAATTGTACGTTAATATTAAGTTCCTAGCGAAACTGTTCGCGAACGCTTGGTAAAAGTCTAATACTTCCAGGAGTTTATCTCTTTTGATGGTGTGCAAGTCGCAGTAGGTCAAAGCGCGGACATTCGCTGCCGATTGGCCTACTGCGTTGTCTTTCCAAAACGAGTCTCCGAAAACATCTCCCTTGCCCAATATGGCCACCACCTCGTCGTCTTGGATGACTTCCAGAGACCCGGTTACGATAAAGCATAAGGAATCGATGGATTCTCCCGTATGATAGAGCAGGTCTCCTGGAGCGGAATGGGACATGGTGAAATGCATGGCGAGGGCCCTAAGACAACCGTCGGAGGCTAAGCGAAAAGCTGGGTGTTCGTTGAAGACTTTGCGGTTTAGGTGGACGCAGATGTCGGCTTTCATGTCTTTTGGACAAAAATTTAACACCTAAAATGTGAAATATGAATAAGTGAACCATAATTTTCAAATATATTTAAGAAAAATTATAACTAAAGCTTCATTCAGAACCTCGTAATTAGTGGTTTCAATTAGCGTAGAAATTTGTTCCTCTAATATGAATGGAAGTATTCAGAACGTCAAAATTAGTGGTAGGAATTACTCAAGTTTTCCACTAACTTTCCACTAATTTGCGACGAATGTCATTTTGGCCTTTGATTATCATCCGTCAACAGAAAATGTGGTTAGAAATCAAAAGTTTATTGTTTTATAAGCTAAATACTAGGCAATAGTAGGCTAAATACTAGGCTAATATTACCGCAAGTTGTTACTAGGATATTCTATTAATTTTAATTATGTGTTTTAGACATTGTGAATGATCGCAAACTTGAAACGATAAAGTGTAATTGAAACCACTAATTTATTCCACTAATTGCGAGGTTTTGCATGAAGCTTAAATCTAAAACCAATTCGTGTTATACAGGGTGGTCCACACTATATTCAGGAAACTTCGGCAGCATATTCTGCAGATAAAAATAAGTAAAAAAGTTAGTATAAATGTATGTTCTACCGGATGATCGAAAAAAAAACGGCGTCAGCAATGGCTATGAAATGAAGATCGCTGTCATTTTATATGTAAATTTATATTAACTCTCATCGATCGTTATTTCCCAGCCACCTGGATGCCGTTTTTTTTCGATCATACGGTAAAATGCTTATATAGTTTCGGAAATACAGGGTGTAGAAGTGTCATTTTTATTTCTATTTTTTCCAAATAATTTCTGAAGTAACTTCAATATTTAGATAAAAATTGGTGTCTAGAATTTTTTTGATATGATAAATTTGATATTGATGTCAATATGACTCCTATTTGCAGGGGGCGCCATCTACATGTATTTTAACAGTTTTGAAGAGTAATAACTTTTCGTCCGTACCTGTATAAAACTATTGAATGAAAAATTATACATTCCGGTGATTTTTTGCGCGAAAAACGTCTCTTAATAAAAATCGCTGCGAGCAACCGTTCTCAAGATATTTAGAATGGAAATAGAGTAGATACTTGTCATTATTGACAAAAAATAAACGTGTTGAGTATACAGGGTGGTATATACATTGGTATGTGGGAAACCGTAATAGATACGAAGATGGTTAAATTGGGGCAAAGCTGCTCCTTGGGGTGTTAACCAAGATGCCATCAAAAAAGTTTTAAAAATTTCAAGGATTTTGGAAAAAACGTATTTTTTTGAAAATCAATTTTCATTTTTCCTGTCGTTACTTTCTCGAAAATTAAAAAACTAATTGCACATTCTCATAGCTACTTTATTAGGACTATCTGATAGTATTTTTAGATTTTCAAATTAGCTGATAATTTAGAGGCCAACTTATTTTTTTTTTAAATACCACACTTGTTACTTTTTTTTTGTTTTGGATACCTTAACAATAACAATACTATTTAATTATTATTTAAAATAATTTGAAGTCCGACTCTGGTTTTTTTAATTATTTAATCTGATTATATTCATCGCAATAATATTGATCAGCGCAAATTAAAATTGAATAAGGAAAATCGAGAAAAATTGAAAGATTTAAATAAATAATATCCAGGTCAGCAATTTAAAGATATTATTTTTAACTTTTCTTATTATGAATTTGAAATCTCAGTGTATGATCTAATAATATGCATAATATTAATCGTAGTTATTATAAATAAATCAACTTCTACAAACTAGTTTCTAATGCTTCTACATGTTCGAAAGGGTTACAACCATCCATAAAGCACAAATTTATTTTTCGTTCAATCTTATTTATAGCTCTTTGAACATATCTTCTCCTTATGGACGACATGAACCTCGCTGGCCATTATACTGTTCTACCATTTCGAATCCAACTTCCAGTGAAATTATTTGATTGTTTATATTATATTATATTTTTATTATTTATTTTATATTATTTTTTATTATTTCATTGCATTTGATTTTCCGTATTTAGTGTTTTACCCCAAGTCATTGTTAAGTTTGAAAGCTTATCAGTATTGTAACGATGAATAGATTAAATATTAAAAAAACAGAACCGGACTTGAAATTAGTTTAAATAAATTGTGTTCAAATGTCAGAAACCAAAAAAAAATGAAGTGTGGCATATCATTGTACTCAGGAGACAGAGTTCTTGCAAAACCTTAAAAATTCTATCAGACAGACCTAATAAAGTGGCTATGAGAATGTGCAGTTAGGTGAACATCCTAAAGCGCAACTTTGACCCAATTTAACCATGTTCGTATCTATTATGGTTACCGAGATACCAATGCTCGTACCTCGAATTTGTAGCACCCTGTATAGTTAGTTGACTGAAATCACAAATTTGGGAACTTTCTATTTCAAATATTTCGAGAACCCTTAATTGGTGTCGATTTTTACCAAGATACCTTTTTTAAGTAATAAACGTCGTAAATGTATATATTTTACTCAGTAGTTTTATACAGGTACGGACGAAAACTTATTTCTCTTTAAACCAGTTAAAAATATGTAGGTGACGCCCTCTAGAAATAGGAGTCATATTGACATCAACATTAAATTTCTCATGTCAAAAAACTCCCAGATACCAATTTTCATGAAAATATTGACGTTACTTCATAAATTATAAAAAAAAATAATTTAAAAATAAAACTTCTGCACCCTGTATCTCCGAAACTAAGTATTTTAAGATATACATTTATACGAACTTTTTTACTTATTTTTATCTGCAGAATATGTTGCCGAAGTTTCCGGAATACAGTTCGGACCACCCTGTATAACGACGCGTATTGTGGATTGACGCGTATTAAAGGATGCTGTTTTCTCCATCTGAATGTATAAAATGGCAGATCGCCAGACTGAAGATTGAGCTACATTTAAATAATATTATACACACCTTATCCTGGTCCAAGCCTTTGGTCATTGCCCACGTTGATACAACGTAGTCCATCACCCTCTCCGATAGGGCCTTAGGGACCTCGTGCAGCTTCATAAACTCCCGCACGTTGTTGAGCATGTCGTGATACTTGGCCGTGGCCGAGGTCATTTGCTGGATAATCGTAGTGACATGGCCGAAAATGGTGGCGTAGAGCAGCGCTGAAAACCGGACGTAAGCAATTAGAATTTTAATCCTCATTACGCTGGCCAATTTTCGCGCGGGCCATTTTCAGCGGGCTTTATTAACGGTAGGCGATGAAAATAGGCTACGCAGGGAGAGTCCTCTGGGTGTCGTAAGCCCCGCTTGTCCCGCGGGAGTGTTGGCAGGACGTGTAGGGATAGCGACGAAGCCGAATTGAAAACGCATAATAAAAACGGAGTGAAGCTCGACTGTTCCGTTGTTTATGTTCCGGTGAATGGTTGAAATATTTACTTGATTACAGGGTGTCCTATTTTCGTGTTTTGCGGGGTTTCCCGTTTATATGTAGAGCTACAAAGATGCGTTTTTCACATCACAGATTTGTCGTAGCCTTCTTAGTTAAGAGTCAATTTCACTAGTCCGAAAAAGTAGCAAAATAAGCGTTAGGCATTTAGCGTTTTACGTAAAACTGGCTAGGTATTTTTACACAAATGAAGAAGGAAATTAAAAATAAAGGATTATATTATATCCGTATTGTAGCATATTTTTAGACAACTTCTTTATTTTTAAGATTTTGATGGTCAAACATCAACAAAATGTTCCTTATGTTTGGACTAAATTTTCTCGAAAATAAAACACAATTTAAAATACCGTTACAATACGGAAATAGATTGAAGTTTTGTGATTACAGTGATATAAAATTTATATAGTTTTGTAACAAATTGCTCAATATTTTATGGAAAATGCTGAAGTTCTGCAAACTTTAATGAAACCTTAATAAAAGCACGTGTGTTTGGAATTTTAGGTGTAGATTAACACGACAGGATTGGACTAATTATTAGTTCTATTATTAGTTCTAGTCCTAATTATTAGTTCTAATTCTAAGTACTAGCTAGTAAGGCTACTTCCTAGTAATAATTACTAAATACAAACAATTTTTAAAATTATTTTAAAAAATACACAAAAATTCTCCCTAAGAACGTTACTAGCTCTTAGATTATTATGCTGCCTTTATGAAGCTCTAAATTGTTAAAATGCTTAGAAGTAGCGCATTTTTAATGATTTAATTCATATTGAAAGGTGGAAACTATAATCCATCTAGGTTAATCCTTTTTTCCAAGCGCTTGCTTTATTATAAAATTATTAAAAAGATTGTTATAAAACCTAAACAATAATTGTTCACAAACTAACAATGAAGTAACCAAAATATTCGAAATATTACTATACAAATTGTAGTGTGCATTAAGAATAAGGGAGAACCATCAAATAATTTAACATGCATTTGCGCTTATTATATTCAAGGATAGAGTTTTATTTTCAAAAATTCTAATATGTTTTTTAATTCCTAAATTTTATTATACCTAGAATGCCATAAAATGTCTATTTAAAAATATTCTGTTCCCTACAGAATTGTGAGATAATAAAATATTAATTAAAAGAAAAATTAAAACGTTTTAAAAATTTCCTTAGCTTGTTTTGTTTTAGGAAAATATTTAAATTGCCTTCCACCAACTTACAGGCACAACATTAACATTTTCGTTTAAATTAAATAACAACCATTACATTATAAAGCCTGTTCAGGGAAAATTTGGACAGGTAACACCCAAAAAATTATATAAAATACAATTTAGTTATGAATTAAATTGACAGAAAATAACTGTCACTACGATGAATTCTCTCGTTGGACAGACTTTACGAGTTTCTTTTAAATATGTTAGAAACATCAAAACACATTTCATAACAAACAACATATATCGTATTATCGAATAAAAACAGCGTCAGCGATGGCTATGAAATGAACATCGCTGTCATATTATATGGGAAATGTCATCGATCGTCATTTCATAACCATCGCTGACGCCGTTTTTATTCGATCATACGGTATTTTTCCATACCTTAACGAAAATAATAAACGGAGCCAGTAAGTCAGTATAACTGGCATGGCCGCTTTTAACAATAAAAAAATTAATCGTCTCTCCGCCACAGATGTTTTAATCCTTCCTAATGATAGTGAATGTGTAATGTAATGATGATGATAATTATGTTTACAGAAACCACTATTTCTTTATAAAGTCGCTTTTAAATCTATACAAGGTGCTTTTAAAAAGTGCAAATATTTTTAGAGGTTTGGTTTGGTTTGGAGAGATTTACTATATTTTGACCCTAGAAACATGTCTATTAATAATAAATTTAATATCTAAAATTTGGCATTTTAAAAAAAATCGATTTTTTAAAATTTTTAGTTGCAAAACATAATAGTGATGGGAATACCGCATACCGGTTCCACATGAGTCGCGTTACAATAGCGACCGTTCCGGAAAAATACCGCGACAAAATACCGCGATTTTGTAACCGAGGTTCCGAATTCCAAAGTGTCGCGGTCCCCGCTAAAAATATATCTAACTTATCTATATTTGTAGACCAATGTAACTATCCGCCACTCATTTTCCAAAAACGATGACATTCCTTGTTATTTTCCATCAATTTTCGTTTAAATAAAATCAACGGCTCATATTTATGTGTATTGTAATATAATATATTTAATGTTAAAATCAGGAAGAAAATCAAAACCACTGTCAAAAAAAAATGTTTATTGGCCTAATCTAACCTTAAAAATAGATATAATCAATAAAACTTATATAAATGTATAAAAGCAAATAAAATATTTTTATTTTATTTTATTTGCTTTTGCGTTTCATCTTTCAAACAAAGCTATTTTATAACTTGCCTAGTACATACCAAAAATCGCTATTTCGAAAGTAACGTAGCGACGGGAGCACCAACGCCAATAGTAACCGACCAAATCGCGACAGGCAAAACCGGAACCCTAGAAGCGCTCCAGCGACTGCTGGAACGAAGTACGTCGCCGCCAAGGTCGAGCGTCGATAGCTAGTTACAGCAGGGACCAGTTAGTTCTGCCCGCGACAGACGGAACTACAGCTCTAGAAGCGCGACGGCTGGAGCGAAGTTACGTCGCCGCCGAGGTCCAGCGTCGATAATCAATTACAGCAGTTACCAGTTACTTCTGTTCCCGACAGGCGGAACTACGGCTCTAGGAGCGCAACGGCTGGAGCGAAGACGCGCGACGCTACGTACATACCATTGCCAGTTATTCCTCTTGGCGACCGACGAAATCGCGACGGCTGGAGCTAAACACGTCGTTATGCGGTTACTACGGTTCAAGCTAACTTCAAGAGCGATTATAAATAATTTATAATTTTGTCATCATTATGATCGTCGTTCTTCAATAACAGGTTCCTGATTCGTTGTGGAGCGCGAAACGACGTTAAAAAAATACCGCTCCAAAATCGCGTTACTCAAATACCGACACATCACTAAAACATAATATCTAATAGAAAGACGAAAACCCAGAAAAATTCCAGTTATCAAAATTTATAAATTTCAAAAATTTCAAAAAATTGATTTTTCGCTAAAATTTCGCCTTTTTTTATTTTTCAAATAAAATATCCCGATTATTTTGGGATTTCTTGTAAAACGGTAAAGAGAAAAGTTTCTTTTATCGAGATCTACCAGCCCTGAAGATATTGACACTTGTGAAATATGTTATACAGCGCAAGCCTCTAAATTGGAATAAATTACATATATCAGCTTGTTATATCAATCACAGTTTTATGTAATAATGTCTGCTTTCTGTAGACATATTTTTTATGTAAAAATATGAGCAACTTAAAATAATAATTGACATGTTCAAGCATTTTGTTTAAGTTCTGTGTTTGATACGATGAATTTATTCCACTTTAAAGACTCACACTGTATACCAACATTGCAAGATTTATAAAGAAATATATCGTTCCAATTTTTTTTTTGTTTTTTAGTTAATAACACATTTATAACCTGCTAATTTTATATAAAAAAACACAAATATAACTTACCAGCGATAATCATCATGCAAATAGTGAAAATTCTTTCGTTGTCAGTCTCGGCTGCGACGTTGCCAAAGCCTACCGACGTCATACAAGTCATGGTGAAATATAATGCGGTGACGTACATGGTCTTCCTTGAAGGTCCATTGATCAACTCCGGAGTACTGTAAGAAACATTACTAATAAGCGCTTAGATCTCATTTTCATAATTGAACAATGTATGATCCACTTCTACTTGATTTCAGTCCTTGACGTGTGAGTTTGGTAACACAAATAAATATGAACACTATAGCTGCTAATATACGTTAATTTAATTTCAGAGTGAAGTTGATTTTCATGAATTCATAATTTTCAAAATTTTTTTTTGAAAAAAATTTTGGCTTTTCGCCTACAAAAATTGTTCTTCAGTATTTGTATTTAGAAATGATAAATATGTTTTTCTTTGTTCTGTTTATTTTTATGACTCTTCTGAAGACGGAGATATACCTAATCAAAAGTTAAGCATTTTTTGTCTGGTAGGCAAATTTGTTTTATTAGTAAAATACCACTGACAAGCTGATTTTCTTCCAGTGGTGATAAAGACAAATTTCTTTTTAAGGTGTAGACATTATTTTCCATTCTAAAACAGTTCGTTAGGTATTTTTCCTTTTTATAAAAATTAACATAACTAACTTTTAAAGAACGGCTATTAAAAAATAGATATTAGTTTTTCAACTTTATTCAGTTATTGCTCGCTGTCGTTTATAACAGTAAAATTATTATAAAAAAAATTTGTTTTATTTTAAAGTAACAAGATTATTATTTTTGTGTAATATAGCTCTATTCAGCAATTTGTGTAAATGCACTCGACAAGAAGCTGCATTTTTAAGCAGCGCATTTTCAGTTTTAAATTGAAAAGAGTTGTACCGTAGTAGACGAGTTATAATGAAGCTATTAATTTTCTAAGGGAATGCATATTAAAACAGGTGAACTGGTTAAAGTTTAACGAATTATACGATATAAGGCAACATTTTATAATAAGGAAAATCGTTATATTCAAAAAGTTATTTGAATAAAGCAGACGTTGACCTTGTTTTTGATTGGGGAAATCATAACTAATAATGACAGTGGAGTTGTTTTCAGTATTTGTATAAAATTTGTTTGAAAGTTGAATGTAAAGTTCTATTAGTAATAAAAATGAGTTTGGGTGCTGTATGCTTTAATGAATTTAATATCTAGTAAGACCACTGTTATGTCTGCATCGTTATTTTTCATTTTCTTCTTTATATATACAGGGCGAGTCTTAAATAAGTGCAAATATTTCCAGAGCTATTAGATCTCGATAAAAGAAACATACTTTTTCTTTACCGTTTTTCAAATAAGTCCAAAATAACCGAGTTATTTAAATTTAAAAATTTTAAAAATATATATGTATGTTTTGCTTAAATTCTGAGAACCAGTGGATCTCTTCTGAGTGTTCTTTCTTGTAAATTGAATCTATTACCTATGTTGCCATATTATCAAGAAATATGTTTTTTTAAGAATCTTACTTAAAACTCACCCTGTATATAACGATACCAATTAAACTTTTAGTTACGTAATCGAGGGCGCGATTTTTAAATTCATTGTTGCCAACCATAGACATATTCTGCGCCGGGCTGACTAACTGGAATTTAAATTTCCAGCTGAGGATTCAGGTGGTAGCTCTGCTGTAAAAAATGTCAAGTTGTGACATTTATTTATTTATTTCCTGACACTCGTTTTTAAACTATAGTTTTGTATTACGAGTTTTTGGTTTAAGTGAATTTTGTTGTGATTAAACGTTTTTACTACCAGATTTTGCAGTCGAACATTGTTCTTTTTAGAACCTCTTTTAGTGCGAAGTGTAAAAAATGACTTAATAGTCGTAGCAACCTTATTAGAATATTCTGAACGGGAAAGCGGTAGTAATGGCTCTTTATGTTTCGTAAGTGCTGTTAAGCAGGTGAGTTTTGTTGATGTAAATAATAACTGTTTATATATTTATAATTAATTTACTTTTGTTTCCTAAAATATTTTGATTAAAAGAAAATTTTTAAAAGTGTATAACGCTGTGCCGGTGATCACGCGACTAAACCTTTATTTGATATGATCTATAGTTCGTATATCTTAGTTCTTTTCGTTTTGTACTGAAATGTTCTTCCATTAATCTATTTGACTTAGATATTAGCACTTTTGTTATACGTATCTATTAGATTGCCTATTAATTGCAAATTAATAGGCAAGCAATTTAAGTTTATCTACCAATATTTTTATTAATAAATCAAAACTTATTTACCTTGAGTCATTAGCCCAAACGTACGAATACGGACTTTGGGTAATATTCGCTAATTTCCACAGCCAACTGTACTGAACTCCGTTGTCCGCGTCAGATCTTCCTATTGAGTACCATATACACGCGAGCCAATGAGCTACCAGCATATAGAAACACAGAAGAAGGATCAGCATGGCAGCTCCGTATTCTAAGTACCGATCCAGTTTTCGTACTACCCTTCCTAATCGCAGAAGCCTCACTACTTTTAGAGCACTAAATAAACTTCCGATGCCCTTAGATAAAAAAAAATATTAACTAACTTTATAAAACCACTTTGAAAAAAAAGGTACCTAAACCGTTTTGCTAAAAAGCGATAATACTGCGATAATTGAGTACTGGTATGCTATACTGTGAGCAAATATCTTTGAAGAAGCACACCAGATCGAAAACAAATACATAAAACATCTACCATAAAGTTTTGAAACAACTTAAAGTGTTAAAATAGAGCAAAATATATTATTACCGTCGATTGAAGAAATAAGAAGATGCGCAACCTTATGGGCGATTTCGTGGTACAAAACATGTCCGAGATGTAGCTGGCGTTACATACCGTGCTGGCAACTGTTACTTTTGGGTCGGCATTTACATGTGTGCTGTTGCGGCGTTGCCGGTACGCCTTTCCCTGTCAAGTGAAGTAAAATCACGATCGCAAACCGCTTATTTTTAAAAGACTTTTTTTCGAAAAGATAACTAGATAAAATCATTAGACATGTCTCTGAGCAACTGAAATGGAATTATAAGGATATCGTTAGGGTGTCATTTTTTTGACGAGAAAACGTCAGTAATCGCGATAATTTAAAAACTCAACTTTTAAACACATAACACGCCATAACTCAAGAACCACTTTAGATATTGAAACTTTTTTTATTTTGAAGATCGGATATCTTACAATATGTTTACATAAGAAAAATTCGATAAGATTTTTTTTTCATTCAAAAATTGTAAACAACCCATCCATTTACAGCATAGCAATTTTCAGCAATCGTGTAATTTTTTTATTGATAAAGATTTTCACATACTGTCTACAAAGAAAATACAGCAGAAATATTAAGAAAGTTTTTGAAAAAAGTACAATCAATTATTTCTAGTAGATTTCGAGATATCGATTTTTGAATTTAGAGTTCTAATAGCGCGACCACTGTCGAACACCAACTCAATTCCAGTGTTTCTAGCTTGCACTTAAAATTTTTCAAGCTATAGGGAAAATTACAACGACTCGTTAATAAATAAACAAATAACGTATCACGAGACGTAATTAAATCGTGAAGCTGAGCGCATGATGTACACCTTTCCCTGGAATTTTAATTACGACAGAGGTACTGATTGGGTCGACCGGTCACTGCGACAAATATGCTTTATCCCCTTCCACGTCTCTTAGTAATGTGCGCATTTTCTCAGTATATTTCATACGTTTGGCGTGTTTACTGTTCTCCCTCTATTCAGTACATTATAAACGCATTGTACTCTTCTTACATACGGAAATCTTGACCCACGACTAACCTTTGCCAGCCCTTAGTATCTGAAATTTAGTTCAGTTCTGTGCCACTGCATGCTGATAGTCGTTTACAGCGCAGCGGATAAATAATACTGTACCGTAGTTCTGCTTTCAGTCTTCAGAGTGGGTGGCTGCCGGAGACAATGTTGCCAGAATAATTAGGCAGGTGCCGGATTAATCCGTAGAATTACGGATTTTCGGAACAGTACGTTAATAATACGGATTTTCTATCATTAAACAATTTAATATACTCGTAATATTATATGATTAAAAATGGGTGGCGTCATAGTTGGCTTGGAAATGAAGATCGCTGTTATTTCATATGAAAAATATTATGGTAAATGTCAATAGTTATCATTTCCAAGCCAACTAAACGACTTTTTTCGATCATATGAAATATTCAGTACATATAAAATATTTTTTATTTTAAAATGTTTTATGCGTTGGCCGCAGAACGAGTAGAGACTCCACCGTACAGCACTTGAGACGAAAAATGAAATTAAATCAGCCTTGTTATAAATTTGCCCATTAGGTTGCGTATCTTTCCAATTCTTTCAATCAACGTTATTCCAAAAATAATGTGTCACTTACGTCTTCATCATGATCGAAAGCATTAAACACGTCGTAGGGCAGACAGCTGAGTAGATCGATGATGAACCAACTCTTAAGGTAGTTCATCCTGATGACCTTGGGATCTGACACGACCTCGCCTCCGGGGCCGACGAAGGTCGTGTGAAAATTAAGAACTATGTCAATAAAGAATATCACATCGACAATTGAGTCCACAACCAGCAGAGAAACGTCTTCTGACGTCTTATTCTTAAATGCTACATTGTAAGGAACCTAAAACCAAACTAGAATCAATCAAAACCAAATCAAACCGTAGTATACAGAGTGATTCGCGGCCATGGTACGTTAAATATTTTCGGAAAACCGGTGATAGGATTTTTTGAAAATTTAGATTTTTATATAAAGACACCTGCTCCATCTATCTAAATTATTTTGAGAGTTACTGTGCCACCTTGTATTAAAAGTAGTAGCATCTTTGCTATTTTAAATGGAACATCCGTCCCAGAAATAAGTGCAAGAATTTTAACTGGTAGTATAGTTCAACCCCAGAAACACGCCTATGAAGTTTTTTTCGCGAAAAAAAAATTGAAAATTCGAAATTTTTTGAAAAAATTTTTGGAATTTTTTTAGTTTTAAAATAAAAGACATAATTTCTTGATAATATGGCAACATAGGTATTAGATTAAATTTACAAGAAAGAAAATCCAGAAAAGATCCAGTGGTTCTCAAAAATTTTAGCAAAAATTTTTATTTTTTTTGGAAATTTTCAAAATAAAATAACTCCGTTATTTTGGACTTATTTGAAAAATGATAAAGAGATAATATGTTTCTTTTATGGAGATATACCACCCCTTAAAATACTTGCACTTATTTCTGGGACACCCTGTATTTACCTACAAGGTCGCTGATATGAATGGGTAAAAAATTTAAGTATACAGGGTCGGTCATTCAGTAGTGGCACATCAAAGCTTCATTTTTTTTAAACGGAACCCCTGTATATTATTGCCATATTTCAATTCCTCCTTCAGTTCTAGGCAAAAATAGAAATACACACAACGTACCTCAAACCAACCGTTTCCGAGTTACTGACTTTTGAAAATATCACTTAAACAATTTGATTTAATTAATTTCGATGTGTTTGGTTTTATTTCACGATGCAATTCTGACGACACTGTGATACTTAAGAGTATTTGACATTAGTTTTCTAGTTAACATTTATAGATGTATAAAACGAGATTATATCAAATCTGGAAGTTACAAAATTTTTGTTTAACATTTCAAAACCAAAACTCGATATCTCGGAAACGGTTGGATTTAGGTACATTATGTGTATTACAATTTTTGCTTAAAATTGAAGGAAGAATTGAAATACCCAATAGTATACAGGGGGTTCCATTTAAAAAAAATGTATATTGGAGGTGCCACGACTTTATGACCGACCCTGTATACTTAAATTTATTACAATATGTTAGGCATTTAAAAACCTTATAACTTTTGTATTTAACTTTTTGTCGGACCTCTTATACCTTGCCCAATAATCGACCGTTTCCATACATATCAGCGACCCTGTATACATATCTAACAGTTTTCGAGATAAAAAATAAACAGTGTAAAATTGACAAAAACATAATCTTGAATAGCTTGGTAAAATCATAAAATAAACATTTTTAAGTTGAAATTTTGGTTATAAGTTAACGAAACTCGACATATAATATTTGATGTGCCTAAATCAACGATTAGATTTACACAGGGAGAGCAAAAAATTACTTATTCAAGTTTGTTATAAAATTGCTCAGATTCTTTTTATTTTAAAATCAGCTTTTTAAAATAAAATGTTAAGCTTCATTCAGAACATCTGAATTAGTGGAATAAATTAGTGGCTTCAATTACACTTTATACTTTTTAGTTTACGATCATTCACAATGTCCAAAAAACACATTTAAAATTAATAAAATATCCTAGCAACAGCTTGCGGTAGTCTGTTGTATCCATGAGAAAGCATAATATTTAGCTTATAAAACAATAAACTTTTGATTTCTAACCAAAATTTTTCTTGACGGGTGATAATCAAAGGCCAAAATGACATTCCTCACAAATTTTGAAGTATAATTAGTGGAAAAGTCAATGGTTTGTTAACTTTTTCCACTAATTGAAAATTACTCCCACTAATTATTACATTCTGAATGCTTACACTAAAATTAGGTGAACAAACTTCTACGGCTAATTGAAACTACTAATTTATTTCACTGATTTCCAGGTTCGGAATGAAGCTTTATGTATATTATTTAAAAAATCAAAAGTCTCAGTAAACTCCGATTAATACTTTGCAAGTTTGAATATTTTTCATAGTAGGGTTTAGGTATAGAAACATGCTATACATATCGTTAAAAAATAATTTGTGTTTCGATATTCTAAATAGTATACATAGGCTTGAATTTAAAATAACAATGATTTGAGCGATTTTATAACAAACAGAAATAAGTATTTTTTTACCACACTGTTTGATATCTAATTGGTCGATTTAGACAGATCAAACATGCCGACTACCCTTAAGCTCCGCGCGCACTGAATAGGTATCGGCGAGAGCGAGCGGTGCGAGCGGTGCGAGAGGCGCGAGCGGCACGACCGGTCGGAAAGTCGATTGTAGCCGCGCACTGGAGTCGCATGATCGACGGTCGAGAGTACGTCACCAGCATAAATTTGAGCATAGACGAGGAGAAGTTTATTCAGATTTAGTCAAATTCACTCTTCGGCATTTCAGTACTTTTCGGCATTTCAAAAAATTATAAAGTATTATTACTATTTATATTTTTATGCAACTTTTTATATTTTATGCTTTATGATGGAAATTGATATTATTTAGATCTTAACCAAACACACATTAATATATTTAGATCTTAACAAACCACATAAAATTAGTGAAATAGAGTGGAAGATGGAGATAAAATATACTACATGACTCTTAGCTTGACCGATTTTAACAAATTTGGTATAACTCAAAAGGGTTTAATTTGTTCTTTAAAAACAAAGCTAGATATGAAAAATAGTCAAATAAAACTTCTATTTTTAGTTTTTTAATCTAAATAAGTGTCATTACAAACATTTATATATAGCTTTTATTTTAAGTTTTTAAAACTTTGTTTTAAGTCAGTAGTAAATAAAACCAAACTTGTGTTTACATTTTGTTTAATGATTGACGTTTCGACCAATTTTAATTCGGTCTTCTTCAGAATCTATAATATACGTATAAATAATTTTCTACGTTTGTGGTAAGAAAAAATTATATATTAAACACATTGTTAGTGATAAAATTGTATTGTAGGTATATTATAGATTCTAAAGAAGACCGAATTAAAATTAGTCGAAACGTCAATCGTTAAACAAAATGTAAACACAAGTTTCGTTTTATTCACTACTAACTTAAAACCAAGATATTAAAAACTTAAAATATAATAAAAAAGTCAAAGAAAATTGAACAAAGAAAAAATATAAATAGTTTTTATAGTACCGTATTATCGAAAAGGAACGGCATCAGCGATGACCATGAAATGAAGGTCGGTGCCATTTTATATGTAAATTTATATAGGAAATGTCATCAATCGTCATTTCCCATCCAACTGGACGCCGTTTTTTTCTATCATACGGTAGATATATGTACAAATATTTTATTCAAACATAAATATTATTTTCTCTATTTGAACCTTTTACGGAGCGATCAACATAGTAACATAGGATGACTATTTATCAGCTGTTATTACTAACGTCAAAACAAACCAAAAATTAAATAATATGATAAGTTTTTTGACGATATTTAAATTCGATTTTCAAAATAATGTGAGATAATCAAAACGAGATGAGAAATAAATGGGTTTAATCGGAAGGTTTTCGAAGTCAGTTATTGAATAAGTGTAGTAAACAATATAGGTTACGTGCTTGTAAGAAATTTTTATAAATAACCGCATATTAAGTATGATATGGTACACTTTCGATTAATAATTCATCGGATATGTTTAATGTAAAACCGCTCCACTAAAACCAGTCGCTCGGCGTAGACTATTCGCCCCTTCCCATGCATTCTCTGACTTCGCCTGATGGCGCGAGTACTGCCGATAGCTCGAAGCTCACCGAGCGCACCGGGCGCACCGATATGCGGTGCGCGGGCTTACATTTATTTCAACGTAAACTGAAAATTATGTGTCGCTCGCTCTCGCCGATACCTATTCAGTGCGCGCGGAGCTTTAAGGTGTACGCGCACTGAATCGGTACCAGTCCGGCGAGAAACGGCGAAGGCGGTGACTCGACTATCGTAGATAGGTAGAGGTAGGAATCTGGCCTCTACAGGCCGAAATGTTTTAGTGGACGCCGGCGCCGTCTATATGTACGATGGTCGCAGTCGCTTTTGCTGGTCGGTCCGATCCAAATACGTTTAAATAATATATACAACGGCCTCCCCAAGCAATGAGAGGATTTACGTCCCAGTATTGAAGGAGGACAGAAAATCGAGTCGAATGTTTCAAGACATAGGTTCATCCTTGTTTAGTCAAACCTCCTACAATACAAGGATAGACTTATGTAGGAAATGCATTGAAATTCTATAGCCATCCTTCAACATCGGGACAGGAATTTAAGCGGTACCCTCCGTATACTTTATTTTAAACGTATTTGGTCCGATCCGATGCAGTGCGCGCCCTCCTTTAGCCCGCGGTTACATTGAACGCGGGTCCGTGCGTTTTTTTATACGTGCGAGCTATGACGGAATTTACTCGCACGACTATTTTATTTTAGTGGTTACATTAGATGCGCGTTCATGGTGTCTTGTGTGTCGAGTTTGTCAAAACGGACGCCACTACTTTGATGCTGTCTGAGGATTTAATGTTAAAATAACTACTTATGAACAGAAGAAAATGTTGGGCAAATGATTTATATGCAAGTAAAGGGGAAGAAAATGAATATTATGTAAAATATTTCGTGAATTAAAACAGCAACCGGTCAAGTTTTTTGAATATTTCAGACTGTTTCCAGCAACATTAATATATCCTAAATAAAAATAAACCTGGTGAATACCAGGCTTATTAATTAATTTTTTCAAATTAATTAATTTTAATTATTATTTTAAAAAATATTCAAATTTTTCGGTATTTTATATTCAAATGTATTGGGCCTAGAGATATAAAAATTCCAACGTTCGGACGTGCACGTATTAAAAAAACAAACCAGTTTGTTTTCATCCGACCAACCGAAATTGACGTACGTGCACGGACGCGTAAACTCCGATGCAATGTAACCGCCTGCGTAGATACCATTTGTTTGTTTTTTGCTGCGTGCACGTCCGAGCACGTACGACCACAAAAACGCACGGACACGCATCCAATGTAACCACGGGCTTAATCTATAAACCAAATTTTAGCTTTCAATACACCGAATTTATGATTTAACTAATATTTTATTTAAGATCATGCTTTTGTAACTAAGTAGTTTCGAAAAATGAAATATACCGGGTTTAGTATTTAATATAACAAAGACGCTACCAATTTTAGTATGAAGTGGCAACACTATAACACTGAAAATAATTCAGACAGATAGAGCAGGTGCCTTTTTGCAAAAATACAAATTTCCAAAAAATAACATTAGCGGTATTCCATAAACGCATAACCTATCATCGCCGTGAATCAACCACTATAGCTTAAAAAACCACTTCACTATTCAGGAATGAACACTTTGAAAAAGCTAGTTTTGTATTTAACAAACTTCGAGACCCAACAGATTTGTTTCGAAACTTATATAGTTTATTTTATCGATTTAACTGGGAATGAATGCACCGTATTTGTGCCGCTGTTCATATCGACAGTATTTTATGCAGGTATGGGAATATTGAGCTCTAGCTATATACAAGTAAATTACTTTAATTTTAACATTTTTGAGGCAATATTCTTAATGTGTATAAATGGAATTTTGTTTTATTTTAAATATTTCTTTCTAGAGTTTTTCACGTTTAATTTTGTATACCGGGGGCGTCTCCAAAAGTGGCTCACCCCTATAACTTTTATATTTTTTCAGATAAAAAAAACGAGACTTGTTAGTATATGGCATAAATTAGCATTGATTGACGTATTCAATTGTTTTTGGCCACTTCCTGTTTCACCGGAAATGACTACAACTTTTAATTTTTAAATGGCACCCTCCGTATTTTTTTTACTTTATTCGATAGAAAATGACACTTTGAATAGAATAACTTATCATATTTCAACTTTTGATATTTTCAGTTAAAAAAATCGTATTTTAAATTTCAATCTAGAGTGCCATGACTGTGTTAAAACTAAACTAATAATTAATTAAGACGCCTTGGAAAAATAGATTTGATCGTCTAATGTTTTTCGTGTCTTGTCCTGGCCGGTTAAAATATACCTAAGTCGTATTTTTAAACATATCTTAATTTTTTTAAATGGAACAAGGGTGGTTCATCAACATATTTGAAAAGAGTATTTTTTACAAATAATTTGGTACCACATACTAGATATTTCGAGTCAAATTGTCGTTATAATCCGCAAGTTACAATTTCAAATAAACCATATACAAAAATGTCAAAAAATTTCCGGTGAAACCGAGATCAAACCAACCAAACCAAACCAAACAATTGAATACGTCAATAATTGCTAATTTATGTCTTATACCAAAGCTTATACTAACATACCAAATCGTTTTTTTTATCTGAAAATATAATAAAGTTATAGAGGTGAGCCACTTTTGAGACGCACCCGGTATATCGTACTTACAGGTAATAACACTACACACGATGTTATTATTTTATCTGCTGAGTAAAAAGACTAAAGAAGGACTCTAAAACTAATTTATATACATGAAATAGGAGAAGTCATGAGATTCATTATTTCAAGATATTATTTTACGTTTGAATATAATTTGAATTTTTGCCAATTTTTTGGGCTTTTTTGACTTTCATTATATTATTTCTCGTTTTTATTTTATAATTGGTTTTGACAAAGCCTAAAATTATTGAAAGATATTGTGTCAAGACTTGAATTATAGTGAAATTATTGTGAATCGTCAAACAAGACTTCAAAAATAGTTACACCTAAATAATAGTAAAAAAATTCTCTAGTCAGTAATTATACCGTATTTAATCAAATTAACTGTGCTCAAATAAAATAGATTGCCACAGATTCTTAAAAAAATAAGTCAGCCATAATAAAGTTCCATCACGTTGGCAGAAGTTTAGTTGATATTCCTTCCTTGTTCTTTGTATTAGACGGTTTCAACAAAATTTACAGATAAACAACGTTTGTACATATTAATTCACAGAACAAGATCGTATACTATGTATTTCGATATATTGAAGTACACAAATCCTCTAATCAAAGATGCTGTATCTCTGAAACTATTCAGCGTGAGTAAATCCGAAATTGTGTAACTTCGTCTAATCAAAAGGGATTGTATCCATCGCTATAGCTACAAATTAATCAATACTGGATGGCTGATAATAAAATTATTAGATTGATCTCAAACTAAATTTTAATAAATATTTAAAAATATTACCCAAAAAGTAATATTACGAAAGTTTTTAATAAACCTTCTGCTTTTGTTTTTTAAAATAAATCTAATTTCATTATATATTTTTTACAACTCATTCGACACGGAGTAGTGTAGCCAAATGATTAGGTTTTTACAAATAGTAAGTTTTGGGTTTGTTGAAGGACTATTAGAGCTACGATTTAAAAATAGTTTTACATACTATAGTGTCCCAAATAAACAAAAATGTCAAAGTTGTATCATTTTAAAAGGAACACCCTGTATATTATTACATTTTAAGCTTATACGATTAAAATAAAGGTAAATTTGATTAAGGTTTACCGCACTTTAATCTTAAACAATTTTAATGCTTCATTTCCCTATATAGGCGTATTTAAGTTTTTAAAACCAATTATATTGTACTGAAGCTTTTCTATTTACTAAATTATGTACTGCAATAATAAAAATGACACTACCTTATACAGAGTATCTAAAAAAATTTGTCATAAAAAATTACTAGCTGTAAACGACAATAACTTGTTTAATATAAATGCAGTGGCATAACAACAGACTCACGGGCCTGTGTGCAGCAACACAGAATATGTAACCCAAAACATATAAAATATCAAATAAATAAAAAAAATAAATAAAAACAAAACAAAAAACAAAAACAAAACTAACTAAATTAAAATAAACAATGTAAATAGGAACATGAACATGTTAAAATTATTTTTTCCTTGCTTTAGCATGGGCGAAAGTTGACACAATATTACCAATGTCTATTGTACGAGTAACTTCTTTTTCTATTGAAATAATTGCCTAAAAAAGTGGCAGTTTCGGGCACCTCTCGTAACTCAGCTGCCTTATCGTCCCCTTAATACAACCATTAGGTAACTAGAGTTTTTGTGATTTTGAGTTAACTAGTTTGGCCAGTATAATTTTTCATGCTCTTTTTGATGCTACAATTAGCTTAGTTCTATTTCTATTCGATGGTACAGAAATCCAGTGACAATACAGCAAATTTCCTTTTTTATCAAATTTAATGCTCTAATGAAAAATCACATATTTCCAGTTATTTTTATTTTGTAAAATAAAAAGGAAAAAACAGCTACAAAATTGCACAAGAACAAGTGTAAAGTAATAAGTTATTTTCGCGATAGCGTGTGCTAGTTAAGTAGTTAAGAAGACATGTGATAGATAAGAACTTAGTTCGGGATCGCCCGATTCTGCTTGATTCGCAATAGCATGTTATAGATATGGGAATGAGGCCCGGGCCCATGTGCTTCGCACACACGGCTCATCGATAGTTGCGCCACTGTATAAATGGAACACCCTGTATGTTTTACACGAATCCGATGCACATTATTTATTTGCCTATAAAATTGCATTATACCATTTGTCTTTATAATATGTTCTCTAAATTATAAGAAAATGCATTTTCTTATAATTTAGAGAACATATAAAAAAATTACAATATGTAATATGTAAGATGCTAAAAAGAAAGTAATACTGTGCCATTTGTTTACAAAAAAAGAGGATAGTTACTTATTATCTGCAAATTACAGGTATGGGGTGTAAACTAAGAACATAGTAAACATTTTTAGTACATATATGAAAAATGATAAATAGTTTGAAAAATAGCCGCACATTTCGAGGATTGTTCAAAATCGATAATAAGAAAAATCCGAAGTAACCTATTATCTTTTATACTTCAAAGGCTATTTTTAACATATTGATACCCATGGTCATCCTAGAGTTTTGGACACCCTGTATACTACGAAATATTTTTACCCAAAATCATTGCCTTCTTTGCCTTAATAAGATAATACAATATAATCTTCATCGGCGTCAGCGATGGCTAAGAAATGAAGAACGCTGTCATTTTATACATAAATTTATATGGAAAATGTTAGCGATCGTCATTTTCTATCCAACTATTCAAAAAGACAGAGTTACGGTATAATACCGTATGATCGAGAAAAAACGGCGTTAGCGATGGCTATGGAATGAAGATCGCTGTCATTTTATATGTAAATTTATATGGGAAATGTCTTCGATGTTCATTTCTCAGCCAACTGGACGCCGTTTTTTTTTCGATCATACGGTACTTAATAAACGGGTTGCTTGAAAACTAATGCGTTTAAGTAGTTTTTTTAAAATCCGTATAATGACGACTTATTATTAAAAAAAGTTTTTTCTACTTATATGTTTTTCTTTACCCCAAGAAAAAGTAACAAACAAAACTGTATTTCTGTATCTGTGTGTGTGTCCCAAACTGTAACACAATTAATCTCTTAAGACAAAAAAACCCTAATAAAATTAACCGCTACGCTACCAAACAAATACCCTAGACACAAAACCTTCTCTTACCATAATAGCGGTATAAAAAGTCAAACAGAGTATAATCCAATCCCAGATGGCTTTGAAAGCGCAGTAGTGGAGCAGAATGTGCGGGGGCGTCTTGGGAGCCTCTTGTCGGTACTGGGGCATGATGTCAGCGCTCAAACTCATCATCTGGATATGGAAAAAGCCGAACAAAACGGAATATCCAAGGCAGCGTGTAAAATAGGTGCATTTAGTGATTGGTTAAAATGCTCTGGGTGGAATAACAGACTTGAGCCAAGTGAGACTGCTTGGTCGTGTCCTTGAGGTTGGGCAGATGGGACGAAAATTGCGAGACCAGCACTGAACGACTTCTCGTCACCGATCGGGCTAGTTTCGCAAATTTTGACAGGCCTAGAAAGAAAATTATTAGAATATTTAACTCTATTTCATGCATTATAAAAACAGAACTTTAAAATTGATAATTACATATAGATTGAAATTACATATGATATTACATTCTATTCAGAGTGTCATTTTCTATCAAATAAAGTGAAAAAATACCGAGGGTGCCATTTAAAAACAAAATGTTGTAGTCATTTCCGGTGAAACAGCATTTCCGCTGAAAGTTATATTGAAAAATAATGTTTCTTTCTTTAAAGACTTGCAAAAATCTTGCAGCAGGACCTTTCAAGGTAAAGACCAAGACCATTTATTAGACTGCAAAACCAAGATCAAGACTAAGGAAGTGTTCGTCTTGGTTTTGCATTAGCTCATTACTAGTTTTGCCTCTGAATTTTTTAATATTTCAAAAAACGGTCCCTGTAAAAATATCTGTCATTATTGTCTCCGAATTAACTAGCGCAAAAAGACTGGTTAATATGCCATTCAGTTCTACCGCAAAAAAATATAGAGCTGACGATTTTAAAAGCTGATTTACGAAGTATTTTTTTAAAATTAAACTCCATCGAAAAAAGATGAATCAGGCATGAAATAAAATTCTTTAAAAAGAATCTCGAAATTTAAACAAAAACTCAATATTTGATATTTCTATTTTATCAAACTGTTCCGTAGTTCCAGAGATTTTTAAGATTTTTTTCCACGATTCAGCAATTTTAAAATTTTCTTTATTTTTATTATAGATTTTTTTATTTTATGGTCGATTCTTCATCTTTTCGCTAGTGTTTAATATCAAATAATACTTTATTAATAATCTATAAAACTCGCTAGACAGGTCAAGTTGTTCTACTTGAAAGAAATATAATTGTCAGTCAAAAATTTGGAAATTTTTGGGGTGTTATAGTAACACAGTGAAGTCATTAATAAAAAATTAGCTTTAACAAACAAAGAAAGTTAAATAAAACATTATCGTATAAAATTGAAGAAGTTTTAAACAAGATTCTGCATAAACATAACTGGTGGCCCCTTAACATTGTATATCCATCTGAATGATTCGAAGATATATAAAGTAAAAAGTTATGTTAATTATTTCAAAGAGAATATGTAATGCTCTATCCTGTTAGATTTGTTACAAATATATTTTTATTTACCTATATAGGATTTATTCCTTAGGGGCAAAGTTTTTTTTAGTTGATTATATAAAAAGCATATCCGACTTAACTGCCTACCTTCTCGTCCATAAAATACATTAAAGTTTACATAATAAAGCTATTGAATTTAATGACTTCCTCCATCTTTTCTCTATTCTTATTGAATTAATTGAGATAAATCGTAATATTAGAAGATGGCAAGATGGAGAAAAATTAGTATGTAGCATGTAATGTAGCTATTTATTAAATACTAAAAATCGTGCTCCGTAATAACTACTCAAAATGAAGAACTTTATGAAGTAAGTTCTTACGAATAAGAACTTACTTTTTTTAGTATGAGAGTTTTGAAAAATTTCAAACTTAAATTTTTCGCTAAAATCAAATAGTAAACTCATTGAATATAAAGACTAAGAAAGGAGTATTGAATAGTAATAAAAAAAACTGTATTTGGAATATCTACGGGTTTGTTGCCCTTCCCTGTTTATTTTATGTTATTTTTTTCTGGTCGAAATGCAAAGTTATACACTTTGCATCTCTAAAACATTGAGCGAGGTTTTGAATTACAGCGAGATTATTGCGAATCTCAGAAACAGACAGATTTTTGTGCCGAAATTAGTTACTTGGCGACTATTTCCAGATTAAAAACATAAAAAATAATGGACCAACATTTCTTTGGTATGTAATTATTCAGGGTGGTACGAACTGTATTCCGGAAACTTGGCCAGCATATTCTGCAGATAAAAATAAGTAAAAAAGTTTGTGTAAATATATGTCCTAAATGCTTAGTTTCGGAGATACAGGGTGTAGAAGTTTGTATTTTGGCTACGATTTTTTCCAAATAATGTCTGAAGTAACGTCGATATTTGTATGAAAATTGGTGTCTGCAAGTGTTTTAACTGTTTTAAAAAGTAGTAACTTTTCGTCCGTACCTGTATAAAACTACCGAGTGAAATAATATACATTTCCGTGACTTTTTACGTAAAAAATGTCTCTTGGTAAAAATCGCTACGAGTTAAACGTTCTGAAGATATTTAGAACGGAAATAGTCAATAATATGTCATTATTGACAAAAAATAAACACGTTGGGTAGATAGTTATTTGACTGAAATAATAAATTTGGAAACCTTTTATTTTTTTAAATTATCATACATTTTTTATTTTATTATTATTTCTTATTGATAATTTCGATTGCAAATATCTCGAGAACCATTACTCGTAGTTATTTTTACCAAGAGACCCTTTTTAGTTAAAGAATGTCGTAAATATATATTTTTACTGAGTAGTTTTATAGAGGTACGGACTAAAAGTTATTAATCTTCAAACCAGTTAAAACATAACGTAGATGGCGTCCGGTGGTCCGGAATATAGCTCGGACCACCCTGTATAATATCGTGTCGTAAGTAGGTGAATTAACTCAATTATGCAATTTCTTTTGAGTTAGTTAATAATGTTTATTTTTTTATTTTTGCATTTTTTATGTTTTCTTCTATTTTTGCCACTCTTATAATGACTGATTAATCAAATGACCTGCAATAATTGAAGCCAATCGATTTAAGTTTTGTTGAAATTTGATCTCTATTTGTTTACAATTCGATTCAAGTATATTCAATATAAATTATTATATTTCTAGATTTTTATATGCTAAATACTAGATGAAGCCTGGCGCATCGCCACGGCGCGGCATGGCATCAGGAAAAAAATGCTTTTTATTTTTATTTTTTTAATTAAATGAAAATTTTTTAATCAAAAAAAAAATCCGGCGACGATAGTTTTTAGAAGAGCCAGTTAGCTATCTTTTAGTAAAAAAAGCAACTTTCTAGAGCAAGTCGTTACTTCAGTAGAGACGACACAGATAAACATTAGCATTTTATATATGTAGATTTTCTCCCATATCAATGCTATTGTCCATTGAATTTCTATTCTATAATGTCTACTTATGTATTCTGCCTATCTAGTAAGTCACTGATTTGCAATGGACGTCAATTATTACAATATGTTACAATTAAGGTATAAGCGTACGTGACGTGAGCTGTCAATTGCGGAAGATGGCGGAGTTCCAAACCTAATATATTTAAAAATTAATTATCTGTTTAATTTTTTACCGTGAACTTTTCCTATATTTTAATAGTTATTTTTGATATTCCAAAAAATCAGAGATTATTGGCTTTATTTATTCAGATACCTATAATTTTTACAATTTTAAAAATTATTAACGTTTAATAACCCAATCTCAAACAGAACGATTAAATTATTAAGAGAAACATTTTTTCACGCGATGGTAGTAAAAATTCAAAACCTTGACACGACACGCGAGACGACACCCGACAAGGATAGCCTGAGGCTTAGAAAAAATCGTCCGATTTAAATGAAATTTGGTATGTCGATAGATTGAACCAAGGCCAACTTGACCTTGTACGACACGTATCACTGTGACAGTTAGTTTTGACGTATGAAACGTCAAAAGTTGGCGTAGTCCGATCGCAACCATATTTGGTGGGTAGGCTATGTAAGCGATGGACGATGCACACGGTCCCATCCTGCAATGTTGGACACGACGTTTCGTTACATCTTTATCAGGGTGGGACTAAGAATTTGATATTAAAGAAAAATGTGGGTCGATTTCGGCATAATTGAGGACGGGCTACAGGATGACGCCCTCGGCCGGCGTTTCGAAGCAAATGCCTCTAAATGAATGAAATCATTAGGATTTTTCTTACTTATGGGTCGATTGGAACCAAACTCGGCACGCGGATAGAGGTACCCGAACGGAGTCCTCAGACGGACAGACAATCTTTTAAAAACAATTTTTTTAAAAGTGAATTAAATTATTAATTAATTTTTAATTTATTACTTCTTTAAAATTTTAACTAGACTTTTTTAAACATGTCCTTTAAATCCTTCAATTTCATAGCTGTTAGTAAGAATATTCACTTCAAATATGCGCACATAGTGCACACACAATTATTTCTGCATTGCAAAAAACAGAACGCTACAGATAAACCGAAATTTTATCAGCCATTGCTGATAATATTTATATACCGGGTCCGTCTCAACAGTGGCTCACACCTATAACTTTTTTATTTTTTTGTTTAAAAAACGAGATTTGGTATGTTAGTATATGATATAAATTAGGATTGATTGACGTATTCAATTGTTTTCGATCACTTGTGGTTTCACCGGAAATGACTACAACTTTTGATTATTAAATGGCACCCTCGGTATTTTTTTACTTTATTCGATAAAAAATTTTACTCTGAATAGAATGACATATCATATGTCAACTTTTGACGTTATTGCATATGGTTTATTTAAAATTATAACTTGTGGTTTGTAACGAAAATCTGACTTCAAATACCAAGTGTGTGGTATCAAATTATTCGTAAAAACTGCTTTTTCCAAATAGGTTAATGAGCCACCCTCGTTGTATTTGAAAAAATTGAGATATGATTAAAAATACGATTTGAGCATTTCATCTAACTGGCCAGGACAAGACACTAAAAACATTAGATGATCAAATCTATTTTTCCAAGGCTTCTTGATGAAGAATTAGTGTTTTTATCGTATCCATGGCACTCTAGATTGAATTTTAAAATACAATTTTTTATTAAGTGAGAATGTCAAAAGTTGACATATGATATTTCCTTCTATTCAGAATGTCATTTTCTATCGAATAAAGTAAAAAAATACCAAGGGTTCCATTTAAAAAATAAAAAGTTGTAGTCATTTCTGGTGAAACGGGAAGTGACCAAAAACAATTGAATACACCAATCAATCCTAATTCATGTCATATACTAATACACCAAATCATTTTTTTTTATCTGAAAAAATAAAAAAGTTATAGGGGGTGAGCCACTTTTGAGACGCACCCGGTATACTCCTTTCTTGGTCTTTTTATTACAGTGGTGTCCCACACAATCCCTTTGTTACCACGTACCACTTCGAGAATTAAACAAATCTTATAACTTAAAATATTACTTAATATTGGATACTGTACCTCCTTTGGAATCGTCCGTCTCTATGGGCTGTTTCAGGGCCGTGATGTCCCTGAAAGTGAGCAGGAACAGAACGACCAAGTCCCTTTCGTTTTTGATCGGCGAGATCTGGAGCAGCAGCCATAGCGGTGTCTCTACGGGAGCGAGAACCACGTTTAATACACCACGTTTATGGTTAAGTACCGCAAAAAAAGATGGTATGTAGGTAAATGAGATGGAGGAAAGATAAAACTGATCGTTAATATTTATAGGATCTGCGAAGAAATAGCAAAAAGTGATTAGATACTGACTTATTATGTATGATAAAGCGGCTACAGATGAGATCTTAGTGGCATGGCGGAGTTAAAAAAGTTAGTATTAAAAACATTAAAATAAAAAAATAACTATTATTTTTCTGAGCTGCTGTGGTATTTATTCTACACTTAGATGCAAAAAAACGCAACGGAAACATTTTTGGTCAAGTTTAAATTGTTATATATGTTACTGTAAATCTCCGAAATACGGTAAAACCTAAAATAAGCGCGTTAAACCTAGGATTTACCAAAAGCATGTGGTAAAAGCCCGAAAACTATTTATTTTGCTTCTATTTCGGACTTTTACCGGTCCCAAACAATAAATCTTAAGATTTACCACACCGCATTGGTAAAAGTATGAATAAGCAAGTGGTAATAAAAACCAACCAACCCCACCAAATAACCACCTAACCAATACATTAAAACCCCCCAAATAACCAGGCTAACCAATGCATTAACACCCTCCAAATAACCAGGCTAACCAATGCATTAACACCCTCCAAATAACCAGGCTAACCAATGCATTAACACCCTCCAAATAACCATGCTAACCTAATTAGTTAATGTTTTTGGTAAATCCTAGGTTTAGCGCGCTTATCCTAGGTTTTACCGCATTTCGGACATACAGTAACAAATATAAGACTGATACGTTACAAAAATCGGTATCGTTAAACGATAATCGTTAAAATTTCAATGCCTAAGTAAACAAAAACAGAGATGTCTTTGTATATCGACATCCTTAATTTGTCGATATTGTTGCTATAAGAAAAATAATTCGTACTTTTACCAATGCGGTGTGGTAAATTCTAAGATTTACTGTTTGGGTCCGGTAAAAGTCCGAAATGGAAGCAAAATAAAGAAGTTTTCGAGCTTTTACCATTTGTTTTTGGTAAATCCTAGGTTTAGCGCGCTTATCCTAGGTTTTAGCGCATTTCCGACATTTACAGTGACATATATATTTCATATTAATTAAACTTTTAGTTACGTAATCGAAGGCGCAATTTTTAAATTCACTGTTGCCAATCATGGAAATATTCGGCGCCGTGTTGACTAACTGGAATTTAAATTTCGCGCTGGGGATTCAGGTTGTAGCTCTGCTGTAAAAAATGTCAAGTTGTGACATTTATTTATTTATTTCCTGACACTGTCATTCGTTTTGGCACTTCAATTTTGTATTACGAGTTTTTGGTTTAAATAATTATAGTGTTATATATAGTGTTGTGATACTTTAAGCTTGAAAGTGGTTACTAGCAGACCTTGCAGTCAAACATTGTCGTTTTTAAAAGCTCCTTTAGTGCGAAGTGTACAATATAGCTTAATAACCCTAAAATCTCGACGCAATTTTATTAGAATATTTTGAACGAGACAGCGGTAGTAATGGCCCTTTATGTCCCTTAAGTGCTGTTAAGAAGGTGAATTTTGTTGAAGTATATAACTGTTTAGGTTACGTTAGGTTGCAGGTATGTATACAGGGTGGTTACAATTTCGATGCTCAACATTGGCATCTCAGAAACTTCGAGAGATACGAATTCGGTTAAGTGGGACAAAAGTTGCGTAATTAGAAGTTTGACAAACACCTATGAAGAAAACCCCGGTATCTTGATTAGTTTCGGATTTATGTCAAAAAAATGAAAATAATACGTTTATTTTAAATGACAATATCTTCAGAACTATTGTATTTATTGCAACGTAAGTTGGTAGTTTTATATTTTTGACATCCGCCAATTAAATGCCGTTTTCAGAAAATGTTTAAGCCTTCTAGATTTCGCACAACAACAGTCAAGTTTCTATACGGTGGTATCTAATTTTTAATCATTATTATGTAAATTCATTATAATAAATAGATTTTTTCAAAATTCGCCGAAGATCAAGTCTGCCTTAAAAATCCAAGTGACACTTTATATGTCAGCAAGCTATTTTGTTTTTTGTGTCAATCTAGACGCATAAAAATTGTATAGTAGAGTTCAATACAGGTCAATGGAGAACCAAAAATTTTATTGTCAAAAAATGCCAGCTCAGACGTTCAAAGAATACATTACTGTGGTCTGGTTTCTCTCTAATTAAATAAGGATTTTCTTTTGCATAATAATGTGAATTTTTTTCTGTTAAATGTACCAGAATTTGTAAATAAAGATTCATCCGTCCGTAATATTTTTCTAGAAAAAGGGGCTCCTGAACACTTTCCCGAAACCATTTGCAAAATTGTAATCTTCTCTCGTGATCACCAGCATGTAAAAAAAATGTAAATTTGGTATATATTTAAATTTAAAGTTGTGATATTTATGTTTTTTGATCATTTTCCCTACATACGAATCACTTATACAACACTCGCCAGTTATTTTACTTTACTACTAGAAGTTTCCGGATTTATTTCAATCTGAGCTGGCACATTAAAATCATTAAGCCTTTTAAAATATTGCCCTCTTTTTTCTTAAAGCTACCAGCAACTGCTAAATTTCTTGAAATCCTTGCGAAAATAGTACGATGAGGCTAGCCTTTCAGGATACAATGTTCTATAACTTGCCCATGCCATATCTATATCGGAACTTCTATTATTTTTAAGTAAACATACTGTCAAGGTGTATGTAGCGCTAAACTGTATTACTGGTTGCATAACTGCATTACTGCTACATAACCGCAACGTGCATTGAGGAACCTGGCGAATTCGCCAGAAAGTAAAAGAAAATTACAGAATTCTTTAGAACGTTCCAGAAACACTCGCCAGAGGGTATATAAAGGCCCGCGCTTTGGCAGTTGACAGTTTGAAGTTTTGAAGTTTGATAATACCGCGCTTTAAATTGTGAATTAATTGGCGAAGGTGCCAGTACTGTTAGAGTAATAGTAGTTGCATAAATTGTGTTGTAAATAGTATAAGTTGTGTGTACAGAGTGAGAAAAAAAAATTCGTTAAGTATTTTATCGTGAGTTTAAATTAGTGGACCCACGGAATCCGTAACAATACATATCTCGTGTTTCCTCACTTGTGAACATATTGTTGTCTGTTAATACATTTTACACTATTTACTATAAATTTTTGTGTCAAGATTTGACACTTGACTACAATAGAGTAAACAAAAATTAACTTGTGTCATATGAAGTGTCAATTGGATTTCCAAGGCAGACTTAATCTTCTGAGCGATTTTTTAAAAAATCGTATTTTTTAGCGAATTTACACAATAGTGAATAAAAATTAGATACCGCCGTATAGATTATTTTTTACTCTATCTAATAGTATACAGATTCAAAATGGCGGCCATAAGAAAACAAAAACTTGACTGCTGTTGTGCGAAATCTAGAAGGTTTAGAAATTTTCTGAAAACGGAATTTAATTGGCCGAGGTTAAAAATATAAAACTACCAACTTACGTTCCAATCGATACAATAGTTATTATTAATAAACGTATTATTTTTTCATTTTTTTTTGACATATATCCTAAACTAATCAAGATACCGGGGTTTTCTTCATAGGTGTTTGTCAAACATCTAATTACCCAACTTTTATGCCATTTAACCGAATTCGTATCTCTCGTAGTTTCTGAGATGCCGATGTTGAGCATCAAAATTGTCACCGCCCGATATATTTATAATTAATTTATTTTCCTAAAATATTTTTATTAAAAGAAAATATATAAAAGTGGGCAACGCTGCGCCTTAATCACGTGACTAAAAGTTTATTTGGGATGAACTGTACTTGAATTCGTAACCTCAGTTTATGATAAACTTTAGTATTTTACTTATTATACAGGGTTAATCGAAGAGTTGTTTTTTACCCTATCTTTAAAACACCCTGTGCAATAATTTCGTGAAAAAGTTTTCCTAAAACATTATTTTTGAGCATTATGTTGATATTGCAAGCAATGCCAACATATTAAATCATCAATGATTTGAGTGTCGAAAATACCTAAAGATGAATTTTACTCAATTTCTTTCAATATTTTTTTTAGCCTCTGTTACTACCCTTTACATCCGCCACTGGCAGCTCTTTGAAATTTAAATACGTGGGCATGGATTTAATCCAGTGCATCCGGTTGCACCAATAACAATTAATTAGTTCAGAATACCTATACTAAACATGAAGTATTTTGTTTGTTGTTTACTGTGACTTTGGAATGTTTCATATTAGTTAAGTAATAGTCTACTTCACCAAGATTGAACATATTGAAGTGATACTAAACAACAAACAAAATAGTTCATGTATAATACGGCCCACGCTAAAACGGACTAAATGTCATAATATAAATTTTATGTATACGTAATAACATTAAAGAGTGCATTATAGGTATGCCATGATTACTAGGCTCTGTTACGGACTTTAAAATATTTATTATTCAGTATTAAATTTTCAATGCGTCTAAATTGTATTATTAATTTTAATATAACAATTCGATGAAAACGTATAAAACATTAATTATTTATAATTTATAAAATTCATAATATACAGGGTGAGTTTCCTACGATGTTCTCTATGGGTATCTCGGAAACTACTGGAGATACAGAGTCGGTTAAATGGGGAAAGAATTGCAGTTTTGTGGGGTCATAAATATGCGCCTTTCAGATTTTTGAAAAAGTTCATGGCTTACTAGATATTTCGAAAAATACAAATTTCGGCTATTTTAAAAATTGTCCCTAATTCCATTATAAGCTGTTTTAGACAAGAAGTTTTCAGATAAAAGTTGTAGATAATCACATCCTTAATGAGATTGTGTCCTCCTTTTTTTTCTAAAGCCTGTCATTTTTGACATATGATACAAACATATGTTTTTTTAAATGGAAACCATAGTTGGTCATGACTTCATAAAAGCGCCATTTTTTAGCTTTTTAGCGATATAAACTATAATATGTTTTCTTCGAAAAATTACTGTATAATAGCCAATTCTTATAATTTTTAAACAATTTCACTTAGCCATGGAAACAAGTTTAATCGCCGTTGCTCTCAGAAATGTGAAGCTGTCACATCCAAACT